TGGAAGACTACTCTCTCCCGTCTTCGCATTGGCCACACTCGTCTTACTCATGGGTATCTCATGGAGAGGCACCCTATTCCTCTCTGTGAGAAGTGTCAGGTTCCAGTATTGATTAGCCACATTCTGTTAGACTGCCCTCTCTATCAACGAGCACACAGAATTTACCTCCAACGCTGTCTCCGCTCTACTACACTCTCTTTACCTTCCCTTCTTGCTGATGGACCCTCCTTTAATCCTGACTCTCTCATTGACTTCTTGACAACAACTGATTTACTCCACAAACTCTGATGATGATACCTTCGCACTCCCCTCAACCCTTTCTACCTCAATCTCTTGCTGCCCTCTACCCCTGCACTATCCACTGCCCCACTGTTCTCCGTAACCTATTAATCATCCCTCTCCCCTTTGCCACCTGATACCCTCGCTTCCTTCCTACCCTGCAGCACTGTATAACCCTTGTGGTTTAGCACTTCTTTTGATTATAATAATATGTTCATGTGCAGGGGGGCTCCGAAAGTAGATCTACGTTTTTTTACATGCTTTCAAATGGGGAAAATAAAGGTCGGAGCGCTACGCACGTGAACGTAGATCTACGTTTGGACAGTTTAAGGGTTAAATACAAATAAGGATAAGAACAGTGGTGATGATGATGATGACATTGTGAGCACAGGTGAAAAAGTCCCCATAGATGATATGGTGAAAATGTGTGATCAGTTAATTGCTGGCCTTGAACAACATGCATTTATCAGTGAGCAAGGGAACATGGCAATTTACTCAGTTAAAGAAAGATTGCTTAGACAGAAAGCTATGTTATTAAGACATATGACACTGAAGTCTTTAAAAATGTCGTCTGTCAATCATCTTGAGAATCATGTTCCTGGTCTATAATTATCCCATTACATACTTCATTTATCAATATATTACTCTACAAATACAGTGGACCCCCGGTTTACGATCACCTCCCAATGCAACCAATTATGTAAGTGTATTTATGTAAGTGCGTTTGTACGTGTATGTTTGGGGGTCTGAAATGGACTAATCTAATTCACAATATTCCTTATGGGAACAAATTCGTTCAGTACTGGCACCTGAACATACTTCTGGAATGAAATAATATCATAAACCGGGGGTCCACTGTACTACTACGGTTTATTTATAGTCTTTATACATCCCACTTAGTGTGAGTATTCATACGTTTTTGCTGCAGTGTTAATGTTTGATTATGGGGTGCTGCCCTAGACCCCACCATTCTGAAATTCGAAAAATTCTGAAATTTGAAACACTACTGGCCCCAAGGGTTTCGGATAAAGGGATGTGGACCTGTACTGTATTTTTTTATAAACTATATCAAAACTGTAATTATTTTCTACTGAACTTACTAAAGCCATATAGCATGAACTAGTCGAATATTCATTTTTCTTGTATTCAATGTAACTCACTTAATGACCATAAGTAAAATTACTGAACTGTTATTGCCTTACTACTCTTAAGTTAGTCTTAAGTATGCCCGAAATGCTCTGCATATAAAAGGGCTTTTGGCATGTTCACCAAATTGTTACACTCCTTTGTACAAACATGTATCATACTAAAATAAACTTGTTAGTTATTGTTGTGCAAGAAAGGTATAAAATACCGACAATATGAAAGTTAAGACACATGTGCAACATCTGGATATCTTTATTGTAGATGTTTTGCCATCCAGTGGCTTTATCAATACAGATTCTAGGACATAATAGGAAGACAGTAGAACTATATACAAAAGATGAGGTAATCAGTCCCTCAGCCTTGGAGTTAGTGTTCACAGCATCGTGGTGGAGGAGAATCTGGAACAAAGGCAAGAAGACTGGCGGTTATATAGGCGTCAGTGGATAGGGACGGGCAGCAGACGAGGGCATAGTCACTGGTAGGCGGGATTCCCCAGTGGAAGTAGGTCCTTCCCAAAGAGATGGGTTAGTTGCAGCAGCCGTGAAGAAGGTCTTGTAGATGTCCTCTGAACCAAGATTCCATGATGTTGCAGTGTCTGACAAGTTGTGCAAGAAAGGTATAAAATACCGACAATATGTATATATGTATATAGTTCTACTGTCTTCCTATTATGTCCTAGAATCTGTATTGATAAAGCCACTGGATGGCAAAACGTCTACAATAAAGATATCCAGATGTTGCACATGTGTCTTAACTTTCATATTGTTGGTATTTTATACCTTTCTTGCACAACTTGTCAGACACTGCAACATCATGGAATCTTGGTTCAGAGGACATCTACAAGACCTTCTTCACGGCTGCTGCAACTAACCCATCTCTTTGGGAAGGACCTACTTCCACTGGGGAATCCCGCCTACCAGTGACTATGCCCTTGTCTGCTGCCCGTCCCTCTCCACTGACGCCTATATAACCGCCAGTCTTCTTGCCTTTGCTCCAGATTCTCCTCCACCACGATGCTGTGAACACTAACTCCAAGGCTGAGGGACTGATTACCTCATCTTTTGTATATAGTTCTACTGTCTTCCTATTATGTCCTAGAATCTGTATTGATAAAGCCACTGGATGGCGAAACGTCTACAATAAAGATATCCAGATGTTGCACATGTGTCTTAACTTTCATCTTGTTAGTTATTGTGTTATTTGTTATTGTAACAAAAGAAGCTGTACGAATGATCACCCAGTCTAGTAGCAGACAGCACACTCCCCCCACTCTTCAAGTCTAAACTTACCTAATATACATCAAATTCACTCATACTACTGTGCATACTACATATACAGGACAATCAATTCTAATATCAATCCTGCTCTGAAACTTTCTTGATAGTTACAAGAGAACTTTATAGGTGGTGCAACATCCCAGTGAAAAGCAGGGATGCTAAGAGACAACCCACTAAGTGTAAGGGCCCCCATGACTGTTCAACTGCCTTCCAGCAAACACTGACAGGCATCTAAAGTCAGTGTCTGACCAGCCGGGCTGTGGTTCATACAGTGGTTTGTGTGCGGCTAACAGTAACAGCCTGGTTGATCAGGCCCTGATCCACCACGACGCTTGGTCACAGACTGGGCCACAGGGGCGTTGACCCCTAAAACCCTCTCCAGGTATAATACCAGACAAAAACCTCTATGATATTTCATGTGTTCAACTCGACCCATGTAAGACCTCAAGGTGCATCAAAGGACCTAAAATCTGGAATTCTTTGCCTAAACATTTTAAGAGGCTCCCTGTCTGCCAACCACTTCAAAGCTATTCTTAAAAAACACCTCAAACATCACTACTCTGTACCACTCTCTACTCTAATCTTATCTCACTGATGGTATATGTACATAGGGATCTATAATAGCAAGTCACTTAAACTCCATCATAGCTCAACAAAAAATCTATTAGAATAATCACACTATTAAATTTCTGGCAACACATACTCCTACTATTCAAGTTTAAATTACTCTACATTAAGCATCCACACATAATACTGTGCATACAGGAGGCCGCACTTGTACAGCAGGTTAGGTTCCATGCTACAGCTGTAAAACAAAAATTGCTGTAAAGTGAAGCAGCCTTTTTTCACTTTGGGTCACCCTGCCTCGGTGGGAGACGGCCAACTTGTTGAAAAAAAAAAAATAAAGGTCTGATAATATATTTACACTATCACATATTAAGTAAGCAATAGAGCTAGGCCTAAAAAATGCATATACAGTGGACCCCCGCCTTACGATATTAATCTGTTCCTGAGAGCTCATCGTGAGCCGAAATTATCATAAGGCGAATTAATTTTCCCCCTAAGAAATAATGGAAATCAAATTAATCCGTGCAAGACACCCAAAAGTCTGAAAAAAAAAATTTTACCACATGAAATATTAATTTTAATACACACAAACTTAAGAAGACATTCAAAATTAATACTCTACTAAGAATAGAATACATGACACTTACCTTTATTGAAGATCTGGTGATGATCGATGGGATGGGAGGAGGGGAGTGTCGAAGTTGTTATTGTTTAGAAGGGGAATCCCCTTCCATTAGGACTTGAGGTATCAAGTCCTTTTCTGGGGTTACTTCCCTTCTTCTTTTAATGCCACTAGGACCAGCTTGAGAGTCAACGGACCTCTGTCGCACAACAAATCTGTCCATAGAGCTCTGTACCTCCCGTTCCTGTAAGATTTGCCTAAAATGGGCCACAACATTGTCATTGTAATAGTCACCAGCATGGCTTGCAATAGCTGTGTTAGGGTGATTTTCATCCATAAAGGTTTTCACTTCAACCCACTTTGCACACATTTCCTTAATCTTTGAAGTAGGCACAATGGATTCCACAACGGCATAGGCTTCTCAGGGTTAGCCCCAAACCCTTCAAAATCTTTCTTAATTTCCATACTAATTCTCACCCTTTTTACCACAGGGTTGGCACTAGAAGCTTTCTTGGGGCCTATGGCGACTTATATTGCAGTTACAAGCACAAAAAACACTGGGATAAGGTGAAATGTACCGAATGTATGAGTGGATGCGACCGCACTGGCTGGCTTGTAAACACTGGCGCTGAGACCACACGTGGGATGCGTCCCGGATGAATCACATGAGGCGAGGCAAAATTTTTGCATTCAAATGCTTCGTATGGCGGATTTAACGTAACGCAATGCGTTCGTAAGGCGGGGGTCCACTGTACAGTACACACATTACTTACCTTAAAATATTTTTGTCCTTAGCTTATAGTGAGTGGTGAATATATTTATTGTAAGAAGTCTGAAGAAATGAAGAATGAGTATAACTGAAAACCACTGCATTAGTGAAGCACTATAAAGCAGGGCCCACCTGCATTATACATACAGGGCACTCAATACAAATATTAAGCAGTGATCAAACTCTTCATGGAAAGTTTCAACAAAGGATATTAACACAATACATGAAACACTATCTCTAATATTCCACATGGAAAAATACAAACATTATCATGCTAGTACTGCATCACAAAGTATCTACCAGGGATGCCTAATTTCATTAATGCTCAGGTTTAATCTCACCTGATACCCAATCTTCTTTTCTCTTCCAACTGAGCTTTGTACACTGCGAGATGCTCATTTAGCTTCTCTTGGATTGCCTCTTGCTGCTGCTCCTGTTTCTCCTTTGTTTCTTCTTTCCTCCTCCACTCGACCACCTCTGAAGCACATCGCTCTGATTCTACTTCCAGCACTAAATCGCCAGCTGCTGGTAATTCTTTCCATCCAATAACCTGTTATGATTTATTTTTCAGAAAATGGTGTGACATATATGCATTATGGGGCCAAGACTCCATTCTCAGACAAAAATTTCATTTTTAAGTCATACTAATACCCTTCTTGCTGAGAATGGTGTATAGTACATAAATAAATTTATTTATAATCATAGAAAATCACTAGATCTGTAAGACTCATAGTGTCTGAGAAATGCTGTGTACATAGGCTTGATCCAAGAAAGGGAAGGATAACCTTAAATCTTGAAATCAAAAGCCCTTCACCAGTATCAAGGCAAACCCTACTTATTCCTCCTAGTCTTCAGTAATCATGAATGGTACAGTACCAAGTCTTAACAAGTTTCACACAACCTCTACAACTATGCTCGGTGACAAACCCATTATGGAAGGACACCAGAGGTAAGAGTTAAATGGCATTTGTTTATTTTGTTGTAAAGTGCACCTGTAGTGACCAAAACCTGGGATATATTGTTGAATAACAATGAAATTTTAATTTCTTGCTGCTGCATCTATATCTATTTGGTTAGGAAACAAAAAGTTAAAGAGTATGTCATAAGTAGTACTGTTGTATTTTGCATATTAGTGAATTTGAAGATTTAAGTGAATCTATACCTTTTAAGACACCCTATTAGTGTGAATAATCACTACTAATTTACTGAACAGCTTTGAGATATAACGAAGACCAATCAAGGTAGTACAGAGTTTTCCAGGGAAACACAACCCTACACTTTTTGCAGATTATGAGTCTCATGTATAGGTAGCTCCCAAATTCATGGGTTTCTAGTTCAAGGAATTAATTTACCTAAAGTTTATACCAATGGGCTACCTGCAATAAATTCAATTATTTTGAGGCTTTGTGCAAGATTTCTAAATTTTAAAGTAACCAAAGGATTATATTCAAAAGGTGTTTAATGGTTTTTCCCTGCACCTGCATCTGTTTTCATTCTGGATATTCTTTCTCATGAATAACAATATTAACTGCTTTAAAGCTTTATTTCAGATACATGAAACATAAAATGTATGGTTGACATCTTTGGATATAAGGCCTTAATTAATTTAATTAATTATTAATAAAGTAGTGGATGGCGGTGTATAAGAATGCCAGACTTGAGTACTGGAAATGGGAAGTACAATGCCTGCACTTTAAAGGAGGGGTTTGGGATATTAGCAGTTTGGAGGGATATGTTATAGTATATCTTTATATATGCTTTTAAACCGTTGTATCTGGGCACCTCTGCAAACACATTATGTATAAGTAAGGTAAAAGTGTTGAATGATGATGAAAGTATTTTCTTTTTGAGGATTTTCTTTCTTTTTGGGTCACCCTGCCTCGGTGGGAGATGGCCGACTTGTTGAAAAAAAAAAGAGGAGACAGAACTTTTTTCCTAACTCTGAAACCTCTGTATTTTAGACTTTTTTAGACTAAAATTGTTATTTTGGCAATGCTGCACTATATCAAGAGTACAGTACTTTCCAAACTACTCTTACTCTTAATAGAAATGCATTTTAGACTTTCTTAGCAAAATTTTCCATTGCGATTATACAGATATTATATTCAGTTTGGTTTTCTAATATTTTAGGTTTGCATGAGGCATGACGAACCAATATCCTGTCTTAAGGTTTTTCTCAAATTAATGGATTACTTGTAAATGTAAGTACGTTCTAACTAGGCTTTGCTGAATGTATCTCAAGCTGTATCAACATCATTTGCTGCAGAAATATCTTAACAGCATCCAGTACATTTTTCCTATTGCAAATTAATAAAGAACAAAAAAAGTTGAAGGGGTGGGGAAAATGTTACATTTCAGCAATTATTATAACTGTGATATGATATCCATGCTCTTCTGGTAAGAAAGCTAGGATATGAGTGATGATGAATGTGTTTTCCTTCTTTGGGTTGCCCTGACTTAAAGGAAAACAGCCACTGTATAAAAAACTGATATCATTTAAGCCCTAATTTTTATCATGTAAAATAATATAATAATTATGGAATCATTTGTGTTGAGACCTTTGACAGACTCCCTCTGACTTTTTGACAGCAACAAATCTATTACACAAACTTTGATGATACAGTGGACCCATGGGTAACGGCGGCATCGGCTAATGCCAAAATTGGATAGCGGCGCGTTTTTGTGTCAAAATATTGGCTCGGCTAACGCCCAAGAATTCGGTTAAGGCATTCATCCCGAACGTGTCCGCCTGTCCATCCGGCCTGAGCGCCTCAGCTGCCCTGCTTTCAGCTAGTGTGCCATTGTTTACAAGCCAGTCTGGACAATTCCACGTGTACATCTGATACATTTTGTATTATTCCAGTGTTTTTAGTGCTTATAACTATTAAATAAGCCACTATGGGCCCAAAGAAACCTTCTAGTGCCAACCCTGTGGTAAAAAAGGTGAGAAATACTATCGAATTAAAGAAAGAGATAATCGCAAAGTACGAAAGTGAGTGTGTCTCTGAGTTGGCCAGGTTATACAACAAACCCCATTCAACCATCACTACTATTTTGGTCAACAAAAAGGCAATCAAGGAAGCTGTTGTTGCAAAAGGTGCAAATATGCTTACAAAACAGAGACTGCAAATACTCGAAGATGTGGAGTGACTGTTGTTGGTGTGGATCAACGAGAAACAATTATCAGGAGATAATGTTTATCAGTCAATAATATGTGAAAAGGCAAGGCAGATGTATGATGATTTAATTAAGAAAATGCCTGAAACTAGTGCTGATCTTAGTGAATTTAAAGCCAGCAAAGGTTGGTTTGAGAGATTTAAGAATTGTAGTTGCATAGACAGTGTGATAAGGCATGATGAGGCTGCCAGTTCTGAGAAAAAAGTGGCTGAAAAATATGTGCAGGACTTTAAGGGGTACACAGAGGCTGAAAAATTAAAACCCCAACAAGTGTTCAATTGTAACGAAACAGGCCTGCTTTGGAAGAAAATACCAAACAGGACCTACATTACTCAGGAGAAAAAGGCACTCCCAGGACACAAGCCTATGAAAGACAGGCTAACTCTCATGTTTTGTAGTAATGCTAGTGGGGATTGCAAAGTGAAGCCTTTACTAGTGTATCACTCTGAAACTCCCAGAGTGTTCAAGAAAAACAATGTTGTCAAGACTAAACTGTGTGATGTGGAGAGCAAACAGTAAGGTATGGGTCACTAGGGATATTTTCCTTGACTGGTTCTTTGATGTTTTTGGCCCCACTGTGCAAAAATACCTCCTGGAAAATAAATTGTCACTCAAGTGCCTCCTGGCAATAGACAATGCTCCTGGTCATCCTCATGACTTGCAAGAGCAAATTGTGGGGGAGTTGAGCTTCATCAAAGTGAAGTTTTTGCCTCCTAATACCACTCCTCTCCTCCAGCCCATGGACCAGCAGGTCATTTCAAACTTCAAAAAACTGTACACCAAAACAGTGTTTCAAAAGTGCTTTGAAGTGACCACAGACACTAAGTTGACCCTAAGAGAGTTCTGGAAGAATCACTTCAATATCTACAGCTCCATAAACCTTAAAGGTAAGGTTTGGGAGGGAGTGACTTGTAGGACTTTGAACTCTGCTTGAAGAAAATTGTGGCCAGAATGTGTACAAGAGAGGAATTTTGAAGGATTTGGGGCTAACCCTGAGGAGCCTATGCCAGTTGTGGAATCTATTGTGGCACTGGGGAAGTCCATGGGGTTAGAGGTTAGTGGCGAGGATGTGGAAGAGTTGGTGGAGGACAACGATGAAGAGCTAACCACTACAGAGCTGCAAGAGCTTCAGATGCAACAGCAACAGATCATAGCTCAGGAATGTGCTTCAGAGGAGGAGGAAGATAGAGTGAGGAAGTTGCCTTCGTTAAAGATTAAGGAGATTTGTATGATGTGGACAAAGCATTTATGGATGAAAATTATCCTGACACAGCTGTTGCAAGCCGTACTGGCAACATGTACAATGACACTCTTGTGTTCCATTTTAGGGAAATCTTAAAGAGACGCCTGAAACAGAGCTCTCTGGACAGATATTTTGTGCGACAGGGGTCCAGTGACTCTCAAGCTGGTCCTAGTGGCATTAAAAAACAAAGAAGGTAGGTAACCCCAGAAAAGGACTTGTTACCTGAAGTCTTCATGGAAGGGTATTCCCCTTCCAAACAATAGTACACCTGCATCCTCTCCCCTCCTCCTGTCTCATCACTCATTAATAAGTCCACAATAAAGGTAAGTGTCATTTCAGTATTGTTTATTGCGCATGTCTCATTGTTTTCTGTGTAGGGAATTGTATATTTCATGTAAAAAAATTATTTTGTTTAATACTTTTGGGTGTCTGGAACAGATTAATTAGATTTCCATTCTTATGGGGAAAATTAATTCGGCTAACGTCCAAATCGGTTAAAGGCGAGCTCACTGGAACGGATTAATGCAGTTACCCAAGGCTCCACTATACTTCTTTTAGCACTCCTCACTGCTCATACTAATTCTACCTCAGTTATACTCTCCACCCTTGCTAGTCTCTAACCAAGCATATTAAACCTTTAGCATGCTCTACCCTGCAGCTCTGTATGAATATCACTGTTGAAATGCAACATTTTTCCTTGTGAGTTTAGCATTTAGTAATAATAATAATAATAATAATAATAGAAGAGAGGGAGACTACTTCCTGGTAAAAGTAGGTCTTAGACAGGGATGTGTAATGTCACCATGGTTGTTTAATATATTTATAGATGGGGTTGTAAAAGAAGTAAATGCTAGGGTGTTCGGGAGAGGGGTGGGATTAAATACAAAATGGGAAGTGACGCAGTTACTTTTTGCTGATGATACTGTGCTTATGGGTGATTTTAAAGAAAAATTGCAAAGGTTAGTGGACGAATTTGGGAATGTGTGTAAAGGTAGAAAGCTGAAAGTGAACATAGAAAAGAGTAAGGTGATGAGAGTATCAAATGATTTAGAAAAAGAAAAATTGGATATCAAATGGGGAGTAGTATGAAAGAAGTGAATGTTTTCAGATAACAAAAAAAGGCACAATACCGTGACTGGAACGATACACAAATAACCCGCACATAGAAGAGAGGAGCTTACGACGTTGTTTTGGTCCGACTTGGACCATTTACAAAGTCACACTAACGAGAAGTAGAAGTGGAGCAGGACGGGTATAGTATAGAAGAGGAGGAGGAGAGGAGGAGGAGGAGGAAGCGGAGGAGGAAGCGGAGGAGGAGGAAGCGGAGGAGGAGGAAGCGGAGGCAGAGGCAGCGGAGGCGGAGGCAGCGGAGGCGGAGGCAGCGGAGGTGGAGGCAGCGGAGGCGGAGGCAGCGGAGGTGGAGGCATCAGAGGCAGCGGAGGCGGAGGCGGCAGCAGCAGCAGCAGCAGCAGCAGCCGCTGACAAATACAAAGAAAGGGGAGCACTGCAAGGGAGCTAGGTGCCCACAGAGGGAGAGCAAGAACACAGAGGTGGGGGGGAGGGGAAGTAATGAAATAAATAAAGAAGGAACAGAAACACAAGACAGAAGAAAGGAAGACAACCCAGAAGAGAAAAGAAAAAGAGAAAGAGGAAAGGGGAAGAGGGAGAAGAAGAAAAAGGAGGAATCAGGTTAAGTCACGGGTGTTCTGAAGTTTGGAGCATTTTACAATGTAGTGGGAGAGGAAGGCATCTACAGAGACGAAGCCAGGACTAAGATTCATACTAGGAAAATTGTGTATTAGAGGATTCAACCAGATGGCGACTGTTAAAGTTGGAAGTAGGGAAGACAGTTTTAGCAGAAGACCAGTCAATAGGATGGCTGTGATCTCTGATGTGACAGAAAAGAGCATTATTAGTGTTGGCAAGCCAAACACTATTTTTGTGCTCCCTAAGTCTGTCAGAAAGAGATTGACCAGTTTCTCCAAAGTATTGAAGAGGACAGGAGGAGCAAGAAATAGAGTAGACACCAGGAACATCTATAGAAGGAGGAGAGGTATGAACGAGATTAGTGTGAAGAGCGTTAGTCTGGCGGAAAGTAAGCTTGATGTCTAAGGGACGGAGAGAATTGTTGAGATTAGAAAGACCAGAAATGTAGGGAAGGCAGAGGACAGAAGAGTTCCCAGGAGTAGAGAGTTTGGAAGAGAAGAAATTACGTTTAGAACGTGAGAAGGCAGAGTCTATGAAATGGGAAGGGTAGCCAAGATGAGTAAACGAATTATGAAGAGTGGAAATTTCTGCTGGAAGGAACTGAGGATCACAGATGCGGAGAGCACGGAGAAAGAGGGAGATAAGAAAACTTTTCTTGACAGGGGAAGCATGATAGGAAAAGTAGTGAATGTACATGCCACTGTGCATAGGTTTGCAGTAAACGGAAAAGGAAAAACTTGTATCTGAGCGGTGGAGATGGACATCAAGGAAAGGATGCAAGGAATTAGATTCCCATTCAGCTTTAAACTTAATGGAAGGGGCAAGATTATTGAGAGCTTCAAGAAAAGGTTGGAAGAGACTGGAGTCATGAGGCCACAGAGCAAAGACGTCATCCACATAGCGGAGCCAGAGTGAAGGTCGCACATCGATGGTAGGAAGAAGAACAGTCTCGAAGTATTCCATTTAAAGATTAGCAAAGACAGGAGAGAGAGGAGAGCCCATAACCACAACGAAGGTTTGAGAACAATATTTCCCTGGAAGGAAAAGGAATTAGAGTCCACACAGAGGCAGATAAGATCAAGAAAGTCATCAGTAGGTATAGGGAGATGAAGAAACCCTTCATGGGCCTTCTCTCGTTAGTGTGACTTTGCAAAGTCGGACTGAAACGTCGCTGTAAGCTCCTCTCTTCTATGTGCGGGTTATTTGTGTAATGTTTTCAGATATTTGGGAGTTGACGTGTCAGCGGATGGATTTATGAAGGATGAGGTTAATCATAGAATTGATGAAGAAAAAAGGTGAGTGGTGCATTGAGGTATATGTGGGGGCAAAAAATGTTATCTATGGAGGCAAAGAAGGGAATGTATGTAAGTATAGTAGTACCAACACTCTTATATGGGTGTGAAGCTTGGGTTGTAAATGCTGCAGCGAGGAGGCGGTTAGAGGCAGTGGAGATGTCCTGTCTAAGAACAATGTGTGGTGTAAATATTATGCAGAAAATTCGGAGTGTGGAAATTAGAAGGTGTGGAGTTAATAAAAGTATTAGTAAGAGGGTTGAAGGGGGTTTGTTAAGGTGGTTTGGTCACTTAGAGAGAATGGATCAAAGTAGAATGACATGGAGAGCGTATAAATCTGTAGGGAAAGGAAGGTGGGGTAGGGGTCGTCCTCGAAAAGGTTGGAGGGAGGGGGTAAAGGAGGTGCTGTGGGCGAAGGGTTTGGACTTCCAGCAAGCGTGCGTGAGCATGTTAGATAGAAGTGAATGGAGACAAATGATATTTGGGACCTGACGATCTGTTGGGGTGTGAGCAGGGTAATATTTAGTGAAGGGATTCAGGGAAACTGGTTATTTTATATAACCGGACTTGAGTCCTGGAAATGGGAGGTACAATGCCTGCACTCTAAAGGAGGGGTTTGGGATATTGGCAGTTTGGAGAAATATATTGTGTATTTTTATACGTATATACTTCTAAACTGTTGTATTCTGGGCACCTCTGCAAAAACAGTGATTATGTGTGAGTGAGGTGAAAGTGTTGAATGATGATGAAAGTATTTTCTTTTTGAGGATTTTCTTTCTCTTTGGGTCACCCTGCCTCGGTGGGAGACGGCCGACTTGTTGAAAAAAAAATATATAATAATAATAATATAATAATAATAATAATAATAATAATAATGATAATAATAATTTGTGCTGAAAGTTAGTATTAGTTTAGCATACCTGGACAGGCGTGGCTGGTGGGGCAGCCTTCACTGGTTGTCCAGCGTCATCAAACAAATTGCGTACTTTGCACCAGGCAGTGCCCGCAACCAACACTGCTCCTTTGCTTAAGGTGCCTCTCTGTATGATACATGTAGCTACCTGCAGTGAATGAATACATATAAATAAATAAATAAAGACGTTTATATATGGAGGTCAAAAGGGGAATGTACCTGAATATAGTGTGAGGCATGGGAGGAGACCAGAGGCAGTAAACATGTCATGCTTGAGAGAAATGTGTGGTGTGATTATGCTGAAAATTCAAAGCATGGAGATAAGAATATTTTCATGTTTTTTTCTTTTAAGTTTTCAAGGAATTTTTGTGAAATTTCATTTTTTCAACTAAAATTGCTCCATTACCAACCCAGGAATGGTTGGAGGGAGGGGCTAGAGTACTACATGCTTCAGCATCCATATACTCCTGTCAACTGCCAAGCCAAATAAAAAAAAAGAAAAGAGAAAAAAAAAAACAGAAACAGACAAGTTGTTAAGGATAAAAGTGAATTTCTGCATCAGGGCCTGATGACCTACTAGGAAGGCAACCACTACACTTCCACACCTCTCTAGACCCTAATAAAAACTATCCCAAAATTTTTAACAAGATTTTATATTTTTTTTTTTTTTTCAACAAGTCGGCCGTCTCCCACGAGCAGGTGACCAAAAGAAAAAAAATTTCTCTTCTTTTAGTAATCTTACAGAAAGGGTTACAGCATTGTTCCGATTGTTGACTTTACAACACGCTGGCTTACGGAGAGAAAGATTCTTATTCCATCTTCCCATGGATATAAGGAAAGTAATAAGCCAAAACCATTAAAACAAAGAACTCAGATATGGAAAATAATGTTACAGTATGTGTATGACCTAATAAGTAAAGTAGCAGACATGCCTGTAACTTGCTATTATAGACAGACAAAGATCAGCAACTACCGTAAACAATAGGCTTCTTACATCACTGCGGACGGTAGACCTCCCTGGAATGTTGGTCTCAATCTACTACAGATTTATCCTCCATTATTCAATGTCAGTCCTACAGTGACAATATCAAGCAGAGAGTGAAGGGTTCACTACTAAAGTGCCTTAACTGGGAACAGTACATCCTCAGTGTGCCCACCAAACATAATAGAGGGAACCTGCGAGGCACTACCATACAGGGATTCTCCAACCAAACTCTAACACAAACACGTATTGCAACATTCAAGTACACAAAAGAGTTATAACAGGTGAGAAGAAGTGAAAGCTGTACTGGGCACAATAATGAATATAAGACTGAAAAAAGTAGTAGGTATGGAATAGGAATGACATTCCAGGGGGGTCACCCAGAGCCCCACAACAGAAAATTATATTACAAATTAAAAATTGAAGACAAGTCATAACAAGCAGAGATCTACTCCTGGAGCTACAACTAGGACCAGTAATTACAAAAAGAAGCTAAGTACATTTTTACAAAAATATGCACTAACCTTTCCTCTTCCTAGATCAAGTCTAGACTCCACAACAACAGCTTCTACTAAACCACGCGGATCAGCACATAGATTCAGTAGTTCTGCTTGAGTAACGATGGCTTCCACAAGTAAGTTGAGATTTTGTCCTTTGAGAGCTGAAATTGGCACAGCTTGAATATCTCCTCCATGATCTTCCAGCTGCAACCCGTGCTGAAGCAACATATCTCGTGTCTGGGCCTACAAATATCTTCACATTATACACACACCAGTACAGTACATGTACTAGTATCAATTTTTTTTTTTAACATATTGGCCGTCTCCCACTGAGGCAGGGTGACCCAAAAAAGAAAACTTTATAGTGTTTCTTCTTCTTTTTGCATTTAGTAATTTATATAAGAAAAGGGATAACTAGCCCCTGCTACCAGCATTTTAGTTGTCTCTTATGACATGCATGGCTTACAGAGGAAAGAGTCAATTTTTTTTTTTTTTAACATGGCTGTTTCCCACCGAGGCAGGGTGACCCAAAAAAAAAAGTTATATAGTTTTTTATGTTTACAACATTTCAATAATATTAATGCATTATTGACATGACTAATAACACTAATATTGACAATGTACTTACAACATTAGCTCCAGGTTTGTCAATCTTATTGATAGCCACAACAATCGATACTAGAAAAGAAAAAACAATTAAGCCTGGTCATGCCTCGGAACATAAATCACAGTACATATACATGTACCTCTATACAATAGTCCCCCCATATCCATGGGGGATACGTTCAAAGGCAAACCGTGGATAGTAGCTAACCCTACATATATATCATTTTTTGTTTATGTATATACCTATGATAAAGTTTAATTATAAATTATGCACAGTAATGAGAATAGCACTTTTTCACAGTATGGGAGCATTCACACTTCTTTAGGTTCGAAAAATGCCAGTATCACTTTCTTGGCACTTTATTAAGGCAATTAAGGGTATTTAGGCCACTGTAAACCATGGATATGAAACTTGGCAGAACTGATTCATAAATAAGGGATCTATGTACTGTTACAGTAAAGCTCAATTCCAAGCAAACCAAATTTTTTAGGAAAAAAAACCTCCCGGCCGGGATTGAATCCCGGTCAATAGAGTCTCAAACTCCGCCGTCGCGTAGCACTAGACAGTAGCCACAATAAGTTCATCAACCAGGATATTTCTAACACATAGGAAAGTTAGACAGGACTCTAGGCTAACGCTACGGGCTGATTTTGAGGACTTATACCGGGGTTCATCCGGCGGGGTATGTTTATTGCAATCGTGTCATTTACGATTTCTTAAGTCATTTTTTGAGTGTGCCAAACTATCAGTATCAGTATCAGGTATTGGCTAATTTTGATGGTATCGGTATCATTATCGGTGGTCACTGACTAATTTTGAGGATACTGGTATTGATCTTAAATTGAGTACTGTCAGCAAAAAAATTGGCATCATCCCATCCCTAAGTTTTATTCAATATATTTTATGGAGTTAACAATGAATGTAAAGTTTCTGAATTCTTTTATTTCTTGGAAACTGAAGGTAAACTTAATGTTATTATAAAGTACAGCCTCTCCTCACTTAGCAACATACTCGTTTACCGACCAGTATGCAAACCTAAGTAGTAATACATATATATTAGAGTTGATTTCCTCTATTCTGTTTATTACAGTATACATTACACTACTGTATTAACATTTAAAAATATACTAAAAATGTTATAAATGGCACAAAGGTGATATTAAAAAAATACCTAAAGATGGACGACACAAATCCACTACCATTACAATGGACCCTTAACCAGCGATGGCATCGATTAACGATAAATCTGACTAGCGATACATTTAAACGCAAAAATTTTGCCTCAACTAGCGCTTAAAAACCCGACCAGCGCTATTCGTTCCATACCATATGCGTCCACTTTGGCCTGAGCGCGCCTCACTTGTCCCTTGGGTGTCAGTGTTTACAAGCCAGCCAGCCACCGCGGTCGCTTCCAAACATACAACAACTGGAACATTTCATATTATCACAGCCTTTGTAGTGATTGCACCTGCAAAATAAGTCACCATGGGCCCCAAGAAAGCTTCTAGTGCCAACCCTACAGCAAAAAGGGTGAGAATTACTATGGAGATGAAGAAAAAGATCATTGCTAAGTATGAAAGTGGAGTGCGTGTCTCTGAGCTGGTCAGGTTGTATAATAAACCCCAATCAACCATCGCTACTATTGTGGGTAAGAAAACGGCAATCAAGGAAGCTGTTCTTGCCAAAGGTGCAGCTGCTGCTGCACCACAGTCAGCTGTTGTTGCTGCTGCACCACCATCAGCTGTATTACTCGAAGATGTGGAGAAAGTGTTGTTGGTGTGGCTTAACGTGAAACAATTACCGAGAAACGATTAACCCCGGAGGGTTAGCCACCCAGGATAACCCAAGAAAGTCAGTGCATCATCGAGGACTGTCTAACTTATTTCCATTGGGGGTCCTTAATCTTGTCCCCCAGGATGCGACCCACAACTGTTGACTAACACCCAGGTGAACAGGAAAAAATGCCTGGAACTAGTGCTCACATTGGTGAGGTTAGTGGGGAGGATGTGGAAGAGTTGGTGGAGGAGGACAATGAAGAACAAACCACTGATGAGCTGCTAGATCATCTTCAACAGTAAGAGGCCACACCTGAGGAAACTGCTTCGGAGGAGGGGAGAGAGAAATTGAAGAAGTTGCCTACTTCAAAGATTAAGGAAATGTGTGCAATGTGGCTTAAAGTGCAAACCTTTTTTGATGAAAATCACCCTCACACAGCTATTGCAAGCCGTGCTGGTGACTATTACACTGACAATGTTGTGAAACACTTTAGGATAAAGGAACGAGAGGTATAGGCCTCTATGGACAGATATGTTGTGCGACAGAAGTCCAGTGACTCTGAAGCTGGTCCTAGTGGCATTAAAAGAACAAGGAAAGTAACCCCAGAAAAAGACTTGCTGCCTCAAGTGCTAATGGAAGGGGATTCCCCTTCTAAACACTAACAAGATCAACGGTCTCCCCTCCTCCCATCCCATCAATCATCACCAGATCTTCAATAAAGGTAAGTGTCATGTAACTGTGCATGTCTTCTTCAGTTTGTGTGTATTAAAATTAATATTTCATGTGGTAAAATTTTTTTTTTCAATACTTTGGGGTGTCTTGCACGGATTAATTTGATTTCCATTATTTCTTATGGGGAAAATTAACTTGACTAACGATTATTTTGATTAACGATGAGGTCTCAAGAACGGATTAATATCGCTGGTTGAGGGTTCACTGTATAGTATTCTCCTCACTTAGCGACGAATTCATTTACCGACATAGTCTAAGGAACGGAACTCTGTCATTAAGTAAGGAGAGACTGTACTAAAAATGTGTGTAAATGGTACAAAAGTGATATTTAAAAAAAATCTAAAGATGGCTGGCACAAATCCACTACCAGTACAGTATGCTCCTCGCTTAACAACCAATTCGCTTACAGACCTACTCTTAGGAATGGAACCCCATCATTAAATGAGGAGACTGTATAATAAAATCTGTTAACCAATAATTGAGAAGATAAAAGCAATTCTTATCTTCGACGTATCTATCTTTACATCTTTGATGCTTCACCTAGTCTGGGAAGTGATCATCTCCGAGGAGGTGACTAACCCTGTGAAGAATCTACCCCAGGCAATTTCTTACCTTGTAGGAGCACAACCTCAACTGTTATTCAAAACACTTCTTCCTGCTTAAAACACTTCTACATGCTCAAAGACTTCTACCAAAGGTTTTACTACTGTAAATGTGAAGAGTTCATCTGTAACTGTCTGGTCAAGAAAGTGGTCAATCCTTAGCAAATGTTTACAGATGAGAAAATAAAATGGAATTACCACACCAGGGTACATAGCTCCAGAAGTATATCTCAATACAGCATAGCTACAATTCCTTGGATCAAGATCTCTATGCCAGCATCAAGACATTCAACTTTGAAGGGTCTAACAACAAAAATGCTGTGCATATTATGGTCACCATAAAATACACATATCAAGCCACTTTTCCTGAATTCTTATTGGATGCACTGTATCACCCTTATCAAGAATATATAAATATTACAGAGTTTAGTTTTACAATACAATATTTATAGTATGAGCATGATTGTTTTTAATGCTTCAGTCTAACTAACCATTGGCTTCTAGAGCATGATGAATGGATTCCTTTGTCTGTTCCATGACACCATCATCAGCTGCCACCACCAGCACCACTATGTCCGTCACTGTTGCTCCCCGTGCACGCATCTCCCTGAAGGCTGCATGCCCAGGTGTATCCAGGAATGTTACTTTCTCACCAGAGTCAAGCCGTACTGAAAATGTTGCATTGATAAAATTTTTTAAATATAACAGGGTAGCCACACTGATGGCAAAAAAATATCTGAAGGACATTTCACAGACATATGAAGAACATGCGAGAATAAACGAAGGAGGCAGACAGTAATGCTTTACTTGGTAAATCACAGACAACCCAAAGTTATTCCTTTAGGTGTACTTAGTGCTAAAACTAGTAATAAAAACATTTGAAACAAATATTAACTAAGTAATGCACAATTTTGATACATTAATTACTTAACCCTTTGACCATTTCGGTCGTATATATACATCTTACGAGGTACCGTGTTTGACGTACAAATATACTCATGAATTCTAGCGGCTTCAAATCAAGCAAGAGAAAGCTGGTAGGCCCACATGTGAGAGAATGGGTCTGTGTGGTCAATGTGCATCATATAAAAAAAATCCTGGAGCACGCAGTGCATAATGAGAAAAAAAAAACTACGACCATTTTTTTTAATTAAAATGCCAACTTTGTGGTCTATTTTCATATAGTATTTATGGCTGTATTCTCGTTTTCTTGGTCTCATTTGATAGAATGGAAAACATATAGAAATAGAGGTGATTTTGACTGGTTTTACTGTAAAAAGAACCTGGAAATGGAGCTCAAAATAGGGGAAATGTTTGATTTTTGCCAATGTTCAAAAGTAAACAAATGATGTCATTGTCCAATAAATGTCCAACTAGCCATTCTAATATGCAGTCATGAATGGGTTGACATTATTTGTACAATTATTACAATATTGCAGTAGTCTGCATAGCAGTAAATCTTCAATTTTTTTGTTTGAATAAAAATTCAAAATAGAAAGCAAGAGTAATATCAGAGGGGCCTGGAGACATGACTGATGAACAAAGAGAATGTTATTTTAGAGCCAGGAATGTTTGCATTGTTCATTCTGGGCTTTATTTTGAAATTGTCATATTTTTTAATTTTCGTGAAATTGGCCAAATTGCAAATTTCTGACCACGTTATTGGGTAGTTGAAATCGGTAAATGGGCAGTTTCTTGTACTCAATCGATAGAAAAAATGGAGTTCTAAAGAAATAGCTATGAGGTTGGTCGACTGGAACAATGGAATTAGCCGAAAATAGGGCTCAAAGTGGGCGAAATCGCCGATTTGTAAATATCGCCGAGGTCCCTAACTTTGCGAGAGCATAATTCCATCAGTTTTCCATCAAATTTCGTTTTTTTGGTGTCATTACAATCAGGAAAAGATTCTCTATCATTTCATAAGAAAAAATAACTTTTTTTTTTTTAAATTTTGCGGCACCAAGAGTGTGAAGGTTTACTCAGCCCTGTAACAACTTCAGACAGTATTACCAAGGCTGGCTCCTCCTCAGGAAAATTAATATATAGAAAAATAATAAAAACTGACAAACATAAACACTTTATTATTTAGAAAATATAAAATATAAAACACTTAAATATGAAATATTAATCCTACATTAACCCCTTCAGGGTCCAAGGCCCAAATCTGAAGTGGTGCCCCAGTGTCCAAGAATTTAAAAAAAAAAATTTGTTATTTTTTATTATGAAATGGTAGAGAATCTTTTTGTGAAGGTAATAAAACAAAAAGTACGAAATTTGATGGAAAATTGACGAAATTATGCTCTCGCGAATTTTGATGTGTCAGCGATATTTACGAATCGGCGATTTTGCCGACTTTGACTCCCATTTTAGGCCAATTACATTATTCCAGTCAACCAAATTCTTAGCTATTTCACTAGTATTACTTCTATTCTATCGATTGATAGAAGAGTGAGTGGTGCACTTAGGAGTCTGTGGAGACAAAGAACTTTGTCCTTGGAGGCAAAGAGGGGAATGTATGAGAGTATAGTTTTACCAATGCTCTTATATGGGTGTGAAGCATGGGTGATGAATGTTGCAGCGAGGAGAAGGCTGGAGGCAGTGGAGATGTCATGTCTGAGGGCAATGTGTGGTGTGAATATAATGCAGAGAATTCGTAGTTTGGAAGTTAGGAGGAGGTGCGGGATTACCAAAACTGTTGTCCAGAGGGCTGAGGAAGGGTTGTTGAGGTGGTTTGGACATGTAGAGAGAATGGAGCGAAACAGAATGACTTCAAGAGTGTATCAGTCTGTAGTGGAGGGAAGGCGGGGTAGGGGTCGGCCTAGGAAAGGTTGGAGAGAGGGGGTAAAGGAGGTTTTGTGTGCGAGGGGCTTGGACTTCCAGCAGGCATGCGTGAGCATGTTTGATAGGAGTGAATGGAGACAAATGGTTTTTAATACTTGACATGCTGTTGGAGTGTGAGCAAAGTAACATTTATGAAGGGGTTCAGGGAAACCGGCAGGCCGGACTTGAGTCCTGGAGATGGGAAGTACAGTGCCTGCACTCTGAAGGAGGGGTGTTAATGTTGCAGTTTAAAAACTGTAGTGTAAAGCACCCTTCTGGCAAGACAGTGATGGAGTGAATGACGGTGAAAGTTTTTCTTTTTCGGGCCACCCTGCTTTGGTGGGAATCGGCCAGTGTGATAATAAAAAAAAATAATATCTATCGATTGAGCACAAGAAATCGCCAGGTCAACTGTTTCAACTACAAATTAAAGTGATCGGAAATTGTTAATTTGGCCAATTTAACACAAAGTTCAAAATATTCCAATTTCAAAATAGGGTCCAGAATAAACAATGTAGGTATTCCTGGAACTAAACTAACATTTCCTCTGTTCATTAGTTATGTTTTGAAGCTTTACAAATAAATTCCATTTTGATTTTTTATTCACATAATGAATTTTTATTCACACCAAAAAATAGAAGATTTACTGTTATGCAATACTGTAATAATTGTATAAATATCATCACCATATTTGTGAATGCATATTAGACCCACCAGCTGGTGTGTATTAGACGTGTGAGGTCGTTTGTTTACTCTTGAATATTGGCAAAAATTTAACATTTCTGCTACTTTGAACTCAGTTTCAAGCCATTTCCAGTGCTAAAACCAATCAAAATCATCTCTATTTCTATAATATATCTTCCATTCTATCAACCGAGACAAAGAAATCGCAAATACAACTATAAAAAACATACGAAAAAACACTGCAAAGTCGCTGTTTTAATCAAAAAATCATTTCATTTTTTTTCTCTCATTATACACAGTGTGCTGCAGGATCTGTTTTATGTGGTGCACACATGCCACATAGATGCATTCTCTCATATCTAGGCCCAAATGTGCCACTCAGAGTTTATCAGAGTGAGCTGAGCTCATGACGTAGATCTACGGTTTGGACCCTGAATGTAAAGCCGTAGATCTACGGGACGGACCCTGAAAGGGTTAAAGAAAATGAAAAATGAAAAATATAAATGATAACTGAATTCAACGCTAATATAAAACTTGGGTGTCTGGTGTTGGTGACACTGCTTGTTGAAATCGTAGCCGTTGCCGATGATGGGGGGGGGGGTCGCAGGTGTTGGTTACAACCCACTGGCTAGTTCTTCACAGTATAGCCTTGAGTATTCTATCCCGATGACAGGAAAGCAGGTTCTTTACCGCTGTAATGATGAGAGGTTACGTCCTGCAATTTCATACAGGTGCACAGGTAATTAAATCCAAAAAGGGGAAGTCTCAGGACGTTAGTCCATCTCCATCAGTTCTACTCGTTGATTGGCAGGTGACCCTCTCTGTCATCCAAGCTGGAAAGATAGACAGGTTACCCACTGCTTAAGAAATCACTCTCCATGATAAGTACAATACCTAAAAGATGTGGTGATTATTACAACAGTCAACTTAGAGCAAGACTGAAAGGACTAAGTTTATTATTGGTCAAAAGTGAAGCTTTCAACCAATAAATCCACTAGAATACAAGGCAGGCATGTACTTACAGTAGTGCTGGGAGCTGTGAGTCTAGTGATTACTGTTTGGACCGGAACCCCACACGTCACCTTTCGGGGGGGGGGAGGAAGAAGGAGGGGAAGGGATAGCGGGAGCTAGACTGACCCTACCTTAACAAGCAGCCGGCAGTCAAACTATCACTTTCGGGGTGGGGAAAAAAAGGCGGGAATAGCGGGAGCTTGACTTACCCTACCTTAACAAGTAGCCAGCAATGAAACTATCACTTTCGGGGAGGGGGAAAAAAGGCGGGAATAGCAGGAGCTTGACTTACCCTACCTTAACAAGTAGCCGGCAATGAAACTATTGTTACTATATACTCCCTCGCTACTCCTATCTATTGAACTTTTCCCTCACAAAGAGACACCTCAGGATTGGGGGGTTGTGACAGTCAAGGGGTTAAAATAGTGCTTTTGCAATTCGTCTATCAGAAAAACATGATGCCTCTAGCACTCGCCACAGCCCTTTCTACCTTTCCCTCTCACTACCCTCTACCCCTGCACTTCCTCCTGCCCTTCTGCACTGCATGACCTTATAATAATCCCTCTCCCTGTTGCTACCCAATACCCCTGCACCCTTCCCTGCCCTGCTGCACTGTATGGCCCTTGTAGGTTTAGCACTTCTTTTTGATTATAATAATAATATCAGAAAAACAAGTAATCTACCACTGAAAGATATGGAAGGAGGTTTAAGACAATAAAAGTGTTTCATAGCACTAAACTGTAGTGACACTAGGGATCACATGACTACTTAATATGTTACCAGAAGTCATTATGAACTAAAGTGCACATACAACCCCTTCTGTATAAATTACTTAATATAAGATTTTTTTTTATAAAGTTGGGATGCTTGAATGTGAATGGATGTAGTGCAGATGATAAAAAAGAGATGATTGTCAATGTTATGAATGAAAAGAAGCTGGATGTCCTGGCACTATGCAAAACAAAGTTGAAGGGTGTAGGGAAGAGAGAGTCAGCGGGGAGAAATAAATGGAATTAGGTCAGAGGTATCAGAGAGAATCAGAGCTAAGGAAGGAGTAGTAATAATGTTGAAGGATCAGTTATGGCAGGAAAAGAGGAATATAAATGTATAAATTCAAGGATTATGCAGATTAAAATATGGGTCGGATGCAAAAAGTGGGGTCTGGATAGTTGCAGTTTGGAGGGGCATCTGAACTGTAGTATTGGCACACTTCTGGCAAGACAGTGATACAGTGAATAATGGTGAAAGTGTTTCTTCTTTTTTCAGGTCACCGTATCTTGGTGGAAGATAGCCAGTGTGTCAAAAAAAAAAATGCAATGATTTTATTTAAATACTGTACTACCAAAGAGAAAATATACTACTGTACATTGTTTCCTAGCTTACCAGAAAATGCTCCAATATGTTGTGTTATTCCTCCAAACTCTGTGTCAACAATGGCAGAATGTCTCAGAGCATCCAGCAAAGTAGTCTTGCCATGATCGACATGTCCCATTATAGTTACAACAGGAGGTCGACGAACAAGTTCACTTTCATCAGGTGGAGGTCTGCAATAAATGTAAATGAATCAAATTTGAGATGTTACCAACAAGGTATTGTATTTTGCACATGTAATGAAATTTATGTAAACTATACCTATGAAGCCTTCATTAGTTCATTCTCTGCCCACATCTGTAACAATCCATTTTTATTTCTTTGGGAAAAAATTTTTTGTTTTTGTCTTGTTTTGTTTGTGGCAGCAGAGACAAGCACACTGGTAAACTACATATCAGTGCTAGGGACATAAGTTAAAGCTACACTGCTTATCCTTGTGTTGGCCAAGACCAGCATGTCGAGGAACTGATCAGGTAAGTTTATCTACATTTGTCTTGAATTTGTGGCTTTCAGATGATGGCGCCCTAGGCGACTGCGTAGTTTGCCTAATGCGTGGCACCGGCCCTGACTTGGCCTACACATTCTTCTTCCATCACTTTGTCTTCCAATTACTCTTTTGATAACAATTCTGCCTGATATAATATTCTCAAAAAATACTTAGTTCTCTGTCATCCTTAGACTGAACTATCTTTCATCATCTTTTTCCTTATACAAAAGACATATGTAAGCTTCCTGCCAATACTCTGAATTAATACTTGTATTATAATTAATATATAGGTGTTAATGGACATACAAAAGCAAATTCAGAAATCCTTGGCAGCTGAATTCATACCTTCTAAAAGCATCTTTACTCTCCTTTGTCATTTCTATCTTGTCTGGTGGGCTAGCAAGCCTGAATCGCAGACCAGCTCTTTTAACAGCATTCTGTATCACCTTCAGGTTGTCTATTGCTGCATCGGGCCTGTCATACTCCTCACTATCCTCCACATAAATAAAGATTTCAAATAATGTATCTGTAAAACAAAAATAACAGTGTTATGCAGGAAATTGACAATATTTACATATACAAAAATTATTTTTTATATATGTACCGCTCTTTAGTTATCAACCTTACTTTATTTAGCTGACTTTGTTTACCAGGCAGCATTAGTGTGGTTGCCAAGCTAATACACCGAGTTTTATTTTTGCTTAAATGTATTTAGAGTACACTAGTGAATGCATATTCTTTTATACACTTGGCACTGTAGTTTTTCCTTGAAAAGTGTCAACTCAAAAACAATATGTCATGTACATATAAACACATCATAGACATGACTCTTCACATGTTTCCTCTTAGGACCCTGAAGATGTGCAAGATGATACAGACACTATATCATGGGCAGAGACATAGATAAATGTGCCAAATGTTTCTTCTCAAGAACCTGAGAATAAATCTATCATTTCATGGACAAGAGGGCAAATGAATAGTTCAAGATGAGAAGGGAAGCAAAGAGTCAGAGTGAAATGAAAGGCTAAAGAGAAAAATTTAGTTTTTCCTTACAGATGAAAAAAAAAATACATTTTTGTATAAACAACAGAAGTGTATGTATGAGAAGTTTACTTGAAGAAAGACATAACCATGACTTTCAGGAGAGTTTAAAAGAAAGAGAAATGCTAAAAAAGTTGTTCATTATGTCTGACCAAATCTGGAATATGCAACAGTGGTATGGTGTCCAAACTTAAATAATATAGCAATAAGATAAAAAAAAATTCAGTTAGAAAATGGCTACCAGAACCAATATAATTGAGTTATGAAGATAGGCAGAAGGCTTTAAACAATAGCTGATAGAAGAATAAGAGTCATCATAATCACTACAAGATTATCGAAGGAGATGAAAGAATATAAAAGGAAAGTTTAATAATACCATCAACAGGGAGAAAAAGAGGTCATTATTACAGTATATGATAAGAAAGATGTGTTAAAGTGATCTAGTGTTCTTCATAAAGAGATTGGTAGAATATTGGAATGATTAATAAAAAGAAGCAATAAGTGCTACAATTACTAGACACTATTGGGTTAGCATTGTTTACATAGCTACAAATAAGTAATCACTCTTTCCCAATCAGTCTCACCAAAATTTCTTTACTTCCACAAGGTCGTGTGATCAAATGGAGTAATGTTTTGCTTAATGACATGACCTTCCCACTCATGAAGTTTAGATATGCCATGCAGGAAGAAACTGTTAATAATCACTCATTAAATTCACTTTCCTGTGTAACTTGTTAACGGTTCAAGTTGGGCTGAAACATTGTTGTAAATTTCTTTCTCCTATGTGTGGGTTGTGCATTAGGCTACATTCATGGGGAAATGCTAAACCTATAGGGGCCATACAGCACCTGGGATAATCTTTTGGCTGTATGAATAAACACTTATGATGGCACTGATGAATCTCAAATGTAAGTTACACCATAATTAGTCTGAATCTGTGTATAAAATCTATCCGGAGAAATCTTACAAACAGCAGTGCCAAGATATCTGGCCATGCACTTAAGGTATTATACTATATTCTTTATAAGATACATACTGTACTATCTTGTCTCTCAATCTATACTGCTGATCTAGTAAAACAAACTGAAGTTTCCTGCTCTCTACCCATGGTATCTCTCCCTGCACTCAAAACTTTTGCTACCAGATTTGTTCAATTCAAATGGAAGGAGGGAGGAAGAAGCAAATTGGTGTTGAAATGAACAGAAATCAGTTGACTGTCAGAAAAGTTTCCTTGGTGTGAGAAGGATGCTTGGAGCGTCAATCAACATGAAACTAGGAAACTGAAGCATCAAGACCAACCTAAATCTCTCTTAATTGCATCAGCCAGCTCCTGGACAGTCATGTTCTTCCAGATATTGACAACATGACTTTTCTCCTTGATGCCCTTTGGATTCACCATCACAGCTTTCTGAAACAGGCCATAAAGCATATGTGTACAATATAACAGTACTTCTACACTGCATCACTTGCCTTAAATTGTAAATGTTTACAATTAAAATTTCAGATACTAAAATACTCATGGTTAAAATCTCTAGAAACTTTAAGATATTTTATGTCCTATATGATGTAAAGCTTAGTACTCCCTGTCTAACACATGTCTTTGACTTTTTGACAGCAATAGATTTATTACACAAACTTTGATGGTACTTCCTTTAGCACTCCTCACAGACCTACCTCTGTTATCCTATCCACCCTCAAGCACGTACATCCTGCCCTGCAGTGCTGTATGACCCTTGTGGGTTTAGTGCTTGGTTTTGATTATAATAATAATGTCTAACAACACATGTATGACTGATGTACTAGCAATGTGCTATGTCTATCACTGCTGTCCTTATCAGTGACATGTAGATCTATATAGCCAGTACCACCTCTTTTTTTTTTTCTTGAATCCATTATGTGCCTCTGTAATCTTTTGACAACTGCACACAGGATGGGTATGGGGTGCATAATAAAAGATATTAACTAACTTATGTTGACAAGGATACTGAGGTATTTCCTATCATTTAGTTTTTTGAGGTGCAATATAGCTTTGGTAAATGCCACATTTGCAAGTAGTAGCAAGGTCAGTATCTCTACCAGTTTTTTGACAATGAAGTAAAATTACTTGCTTTAAGCATGCAACAATGTTGTCCTGGCTTTCCAGTAGTTATGTACAATCCATGAAATGATGACTGAAAATATGGATGCCTTTCTTTCATGTGCTCTATTATCATAGTGGTTCAGGTCATGTACAATACTATCCTACACCCAAGTGTTCCTCTTTCAATTCTCCCTCCTTAAGGAACTTCTCATCCAAAGTGCTCCGATCCTATTCTTTGATCTTTTCAGAGCTACCATCCACATAACATCTAAAAGATCTTGCCTGAAACTGGTTAGCTAGGATAATGATTTGTGGAACTATTAGCAGATATGTTATTCTTAAAAAATTAACAACCTCCTTTGTCAATTCTGCCTCTTTTTCTACAACTTCATTGTTAAGCAGCTTCAGTTCCACATTTCACTCCCAAAATTCTCAGTCTTATTCATAAGAGTGATTTTCATCATGTAACAAAATGGGAGGTCCCAGCCTGTCCTGGATCTAAAAGACTTGAGCCTACATATGTCCATGAAGACCTTCAAAATAAAATCAATTTCTAGGGTTCATTATCTCCCATTCATCCTAATTTGGCTACCTCTATGAACCTGTACATAGCTTCTGATAATATTACAATACACCAGGAATTTCACATATTCTTCACATTCCACTTAGTAACGTGGATGAGCGCTAAACTACCAGTTATTGTCCTTCAGTCTCAAGATGGCACTGGGGATCTTCAAGTGCATCTGTCAGCCACTCATCACTAGTCTTCATTATTATTATTATTATAATCAAGGGGGAAGCACTAAACCCGTAGGATTATACAGCGCCTATGGGGGGATGGAAGGCATTCAGGCTTAATTCAGGGAACTGGAGCACAGATCCAATTCACTAGATCAAGAGCCCCTCACCAGCGTCAAGGAGCCTTCCTTGAGGGGACACTAGTCTTCAAACACAGGGTTTGTGTATATTTATCTAGCTCAGCAACACTCTGATGGCGGCCTCACCATTTTATGTTCACAGATCTCCAGAAGATGATCAGAGCATTGAAGGTGGTGGGTCTGACTCTCATCTCAACACAGTCATTGATGTGCTTATTGGTGGTGTTTCCATTAATGAATATTTTCCTACAGTCTGCTTTAATACAGAATGATATTCAAGTATTATTTCTGAAATATCCTTGTCAAAATGTGATAGTTCCAAAATTATTATTGTTTTTTTTATTAACACATTGGCCATTTCCTACCAAGATAGGGTGGCCTGAAAAAGAAACTTTCACCATCACATAATCCATCACTGTCTTGCCAGAGGCGTGCTTACACTACAGATATAAAACTGCAACATTAACACCCCTCCTTCAGAGTGCAGGCACTGTATTTCCTGTCTCCAGGACTCAAGTCTGGCCTGCCGGTTTCCCTGAATCCCTTCATAAATATTACCCTGCTCACACTCCAACAACACGTCAAGTCCTAAAAACCATTTGTCTCCATTCGCTCCTATCTAACACGCTTATGCATGCTTGCAGGAAGTCCAAGCCCCTCGCACACAAAACCTCCTTTACCCCCTCCCTCCAACCTTTCTTAGGCCGACCCCAATGGAAATAAGTCACTCTGTCTGACTTTTTTGGGTTATCCTAGGTTCTCTACACATATGCTGCTATGTATGATAATTCTATGTAACTGTATTGTGTATACCTGAATAAATTTACTTACTTACTTACTTACTTACCCCGTCTTCCCTCCACTACAGATTTATACACTCTCAAAGTCATTCTATTTTGTTCCATCCTTTCTACATGTTTGAACCATCTCAACAACCCCTCCTCAGCCCTCTGGATAATAGTTTTGGTAATCCCGCACCTTTTTCTCTTTAGTATTTTCTACAGAAGGGGTTACTAGCCCATTGCTCCCGGCATTTTAGTCACCCCATACGACATGCATGGCTTACAGAGGAAAGATTCTTTTCCACTTCACTATTAAGAAAAAGAAGAAAACCCTAGATGTGTGTATGTATATACATGTATGTATATGTATATGCATGCCTGTGTAGTGTGACCTAAGTGTAAGTAGAAGTAGCAGGATATACCTGTTATCCAGCATGTTTATGAGACAGAAAAAAGACACCAGCAATCCTACCATCGTGTAAAACAGTTACGGGTTTCTGTTTTGCATTCGCTTGGCAGGACAGTAGTATCTCCCTGGGTGGTTGCTGTCTACCAACCTACTGCCTACACTTGAGTCCTGGAGATGGGAAGTAGAGTGTCTGCTCTCTAAAGGAGGGGTGTTAATGTTGCAGTTTCATAACTGTAGTGTAAGCATACCTCTGGCAAGACAGTGATGGAGTGAATGATGATGATGAAAGCTTTTCTTTTTTGGGCCACCCTGCCTTGGTAGAAGAAAGCCAATGTGTTAATAAAAAAAATCCTGCGCCTCCTCCTAATTTCCAAACTATGAATTCTCTGCATTATATTCACACCACACATTGCCCTCAGACATGACATCTCCACTGCCTCCAGCCTTCTCCTTGTTGCAACATTCACCACTCATGCTTCACACCCATATAAGAGCGTTGGTATAACTATACTCTCATACATTCCCCTCTTTGCTTCCATGGACAAGGTTCTTTGTCGCACAGACTCCTCAGTGCACCACTCACCTTTTTCTCCCTTGTCAATTTTAAATGTTTTTTTATTTTATAAAGTTCAATCTTACATTTACTTCTCAGATGGACAAGAAAAGGTATGTCTCGAAAGACAGGCTTTCTTTCCACTATACCTTACATGTTGTACTGAAGACCTAAGGATTCATATGCTTCCAAGCGGAAAGACCTAAAACACACATTGCCTTCTGGTTAATAATATAATTCAGCAACTACTAGGAAGCTCCAGCCTCTGCTTAGTGGAGGCATTACGAGAATACTTGTCAGAAAGATGACCTTCAGCTCAGTAAATCCACCTTCATCCATCACTATGCTTGGGAGGTACTGTGCATGGCTATACATACAGGGTTTGCATTTTGGGGAGTGCTGTGCCATATTTATAGGTGGGCTTTGAAACAAGCTGAAGTATGATTAAAAAAACTTCCATATAAAGATATGCTTATACGAAAACAAAACTAAATGCAAGTGCTCAGCACATTCTGTACTTATACATAATCTCTCCTTATTCTCATCAACACTCAGTAGATGATCACCCTAAGTTTAACAGTCAACTCTTAACACCTTACCCTTTATACAGTAAGTCAATCAATTTATGCATACAGTATTTAACTTCACTCTGCAGCTTGACAAATACAAATACCATTGTTAATCATCAAACATTCTACTCAACATTTTTAAGTAGTTTCATGATTATTGTTATTATTCTTACTCTATCTTTACAGGAAAGTGCTAAACCAGAATATACCATAAATCACCAATTACTTAGTTGAACTTATTATATTTAGGGTAAAGCACTAAACCCTTGTGGGTCATACAGTAGGAGGCAATCAGGTTTGATCCAAGGAAGGGGAAGACAGGGCCAATTCCTTGGATTAAGAACCCCTCACCAGTATCAAGGAACCTCCCTTCAGGGCTATTAACATGAAAACAAATTAAAATAATTGCCAAATGAAATACTTTTTCATCTTTTCCTTTTCGCTTCTTATACAGGACTGATGCAACATGTAAAAATGATGGTTGGGTGTATCCACACAGCTGGCAAGGCACCACACTACCCTGAGAAACACCTCGAGGCATCAACTGTGACACTCTGGAAAATCCCACCGATGATATGTGTTGAATACTGCTCTTCTGAAGCCATCTTCGTAAAACCCAACCTCTGTAAGTAAAAAATATAGGCGAACATGTTAACAGATTAACATCTTCCATCATACTTACACATTTTTTTATATCAGAATACAGTGGACCCCCGGTTTACGATATTATTTCATTCCAGAAGTATGTTCAGGTGCCAGTACTGAACGAATTTGTTCCCATAAGGAATATTGTGAATTAGATTAGTCCATTTCAGACCCCCAAACATACACGTACAAACGCACTTACATAAATACACTTATATAATTGGTCGCATTGGGAGCTGATCGTAAAGCGGGGGTCCACTGTATACCCAAAAAATTAAAAATTAATATTATTATTGTTTTTGAAGCTTTCCTTCACTTTTAAAATAATATGGTGAACCCATTAAACTACTATATGAAACAATTGTTAAAATTTAATCTTGTATATCAGACCTAAATAAAAATTGATTTACTTCAAGGAATAGTAGGGTAACCTTAATTTAGTGGATCCAGAATCACAGCACTTTTCACTTGAAGGATCTCACCGCACAGGGCCAGTGCCACACTCAACATGGCAGCTACAAGTGTATATAGGAGGGGGTCTCACTTTACAACACTTCACTTCACAGTATTTCGCTAATACAACGGTTTTCAATTAAACCCATTCTTCATTTATTCAAACTTACTACAATAAATATATTCACCTCTCACTATAAGCTAAGGATGAAAATATTTCAAGGCAAGCAATGTGTGAACTGTACATGGATTTTTTAGGCCTAGCTACATTGCTCACTTAATATGTATATAATATTGTAAACATATTATCAGGCTTTTGGAATAAACCTTGGTAATAAATACCGACAAGTTGGTTTAGAAAGACACGTAAGCAAACACTATAACATATTAATTAGAAAACGTTTCGGTCCTGGGACCTTGATCACTTCAAGGTCCCAGGACCGAAACGTTTTCTAATTAATGTGTTATAGTGTTTGCTTACGTGTCTTTCTAAACCAATCAGGCTTTTGTATGCCTTTGAAAGTGAAAATAAGGCTATGATTCACTTTACAGCAGTAGCCCAGAACCTAACCTGCTGTATAAGCGGGGCCTGCCTGTATGTTTTAGATACACTATTTTTTATCTGTTAAGTGTTTCTAAGGATTATCTTCCTCAGGGCTCAGTCTCAGATCAGGCCTCTTAATTTGAAAAGGAAATATTACAGGATTAAGAACTATTAAAAAGTGTGTATAGTGAATTTAATTAGCTTGTAAGATTTACCTGTCATCTTACTTGTTCAAGATTACAGTAAGATTTACCTGCCCAAAATGCTCTAAATGCTAGTGGCTTTTTTGTGCTTAAAAAATGTTTTATTACATGTAAAACTACATTTTCTATATTGCAGAAAGAAATTAAGTTTGTTTACTTACTATTTTATGTGCTCACGAGACAAACAATAAAGATCAGCAATCCTGCCAGTGCAAAATGCTTAACTTTAGATAGGATAGTACAGTAGTACATCCTTGCTCACAGTGTAAAAGTGAAGGGTTCTTCATTCAAGAAACTGGATCACTCCTGCTAACCAAACATTACCTAACTTTACCAAACCTAACATAACATAACCTAACTTAACCTTAACTAAATATAACCTAACCAAACCTAACCTAACCTTGCTCTGACTTCACACATTGAGTGTCTGTGGTTCGACCCTTGGCATGGGTGGAAACACTGGGTGTGTTACCTTACACCTGTTGTCCCATTCACCTAGCAAGTAGGTACCTGGGCATTAGTCGACTGGTGTGGGTCACATCCTGGGGATCAAGATTGAAGGACCACAATGGAAATAGGTTAGATAGTCCTCAATGACACACTGACTTTCTTGGGTTATGCTGGGTGGCTAACCCTCTGGGATTAAAAATCCAAACAAAATCTTATTTATCTTAACCTAACATAACCTAACTTTAACTAAATGCAACATAACTTAACCTAACCTTAATTAAATACAACAATCTAATATAACCTAACATAACATAACCAAACCTATTTTTGTTAATATCTCCCCGACTAAAAATTTGGCCCAAAAATACTTATAAATAAATAAGTTTATTCAGGTACAGTTACACATAAATAAAGTTACATAAATTATCATACATAGAAGCATATGTGTAGATTACCTAGGATAACCCAGAAAAGTCAGACAAAGTGACTTATTTCCATTGGGGTCCCATGAAGTATGTATATTTTATGTGTTGAAAAGTGTATTGCATTGTAAAATAATGACAGATTTCTACAGAGTAGATGTCGGTTATAACCTTGGTTTATCTTATTATACTAACCCTCCAGGTTAATAATACAAACAAAATCTTCATATCATAAGAGCGGCATCATGGTGCCCTCAATAAGTAATTTTATTCAGGTATACACAAATACATTATTATTATAATTATGGGGAGCGCTAAACCCGTAGGATTATACAGCACATGTGGGGGGGATGGTAACCGGAGCACAGATCCAATTCCCTAGATCAAGAGCCCCTCACCAGCATCAAGGAACCTCCCTTGAGGGGATACACAAATACAGTTACATAGATTATCATACATAGCAGCAAATGTGTAGAGAAACCAGGATAACCCAAAAAAGTCAGTGACTTATTTCCACTGGGGTCCTTTAATATACAGTATAATTATTTAAATGTGCTTTTACCTAAGCATAACGACGAGATCTTCTTCTTCTGTAGCGATTAAAATTATTATTAAATTCTTGTAGTGAGCTGAAAACTTGTTTGTGTTGGTAATTTATATGTATGACAATAGTAATTTTCTCTGTGTTGTTGTGTATTCAGGCCACCAATGACGCTTTTTTGAGCCCTATTTCAGGGAGTCGAAAAAAAAAAAGACATTGCTCAAACTGGGTGGAAATGAAAAGAACAAATTCTCGAAAGAAAAAAACGAGAACATTTAATTCCCACTCAGATCAGGTGGCCCCAGCCGAAACACTGGCAAACCAGCGTCATACTCCCTGAGAAAACATGCCAGTGGTTAAAACAAAAAGGCACAATACGTGACTGGAACGATACTCAAATAACGCACATAAAAGACGAAGCTTACGACACTTTCGCCCGGGACTTGGACCATGACAAAGTACATAACAGAGGAGGAGAGGACAGCTATATTAGGCAGAAGAGTGAGGTAGTAGTAGTGGTATAGTTGGTAGTAGTTTAGACAGATGGTATATAATACGACAGATGAATGACCACGCACAAACACGCCGGCACTAAAATCTGGATTTAAGTTTTCTTGTTGGGGGTTTATAGGGCAAGTGTCAGCGTACGCCGTAGCGAACCCTGCCTCTAGTGTCCGGGGAAGTAGACTGGTCTAATAAATTAGACACTTGGGTATCTTTATTGTGGAAATGTTTCACTAACTAATGGCTTTCTCAGTCCAATGCAGAGAAGGATGATTGAAGATCAAATGTTGTTTGAGGTAATCAGTCCCTCAGCCTGGAGCCGCTCCAAGCTGAGAGACTGATTACATCAAAACTACTGTCATCAACCATTCTTCTCTGTTAGGTAAGACACATATGCAACAGTTAGGTATCTTTATTTCGAAACGTTTCGAAATAAAGATACCTAACTGTTGCATATGTGTCTTACCTAACAATCTGTCGGTATTTTATACCATTTTAATGTTCATTCTTCTCTGTATTGGACTGAGGAAGCCACTGGTCAGCGAAACGTTTCCACATACATATACCAGTGTTGCACAAGTGTCTTAATTCATCAACCTATCGGCTCTCTGAACCATTTATTTACATACTGGTCCAAATTTGAAGCAACATGTTGCGGGGAAGCGTTCATGTCTTCAACGTGTCCTGAGACCCACAGAAATACGCAAGTGTGGGTCAGGATTTCCTGACTATTTGTAGGATCGAACCTTTCCACACAGAGTAGGAATGATGAGATTAAAGACTGCAAAGCAGCAGCAGCTGCTAGTAGAAGTAATAGCAGTAACTGTAGTACTATTAAGTTTATTTAGATACAGTTACACATAAGTACAGTTACACAAATATAGTTGAGTATAATTATCATACATAGTAACATTTCTGTAAATTACCTAGGATAACCCATAAACAGTCAGTCGATAAGATAAGATTTCGTTCGGATTTTTAACCCCGGAGGGTTAGCCACCCAGGATAACCTAAGAAAGTCAGTGCGTCACCGAGGACTGTCTAACTTATTTCCATTGGGGTCCTTAATCTTGTCCCCCAGGATGCGACCCACACCAGTCGACTAACACCCAGGTACCTATTTGCTGCTAGGTGAACAGGACAACAGGTGTAAGGAAACGTGTCGGAATGTTTCCACCCGCCGGGAATCGAACCCGGGCCCTCCGTGTGTGAAGCGGGAGCTTTAGCCACCAGGCCACGGTGAATCATTGCAACAGCAGCAGGAGCGGCAATAGTAGTAATAGCAGTAGTAGTTCGAATATTAAAAACTTTGTATGCAGGAACTATAATTATTTTTATATAAATATTCTGACTATCAACTCTAGCCGCGCGCCACACATACGAACACATCCCATAATCTCAACACATATAACTTTGACAGATAAAGTTCTATTAAAAATAGATAAGCATAAAATCATGTGTAAAATATTGCCGTTAAAGCGCCGGTATGAAGTACAAGAGTAAAATAAGAGATGAGGTGAGGGTTGAGAGCCATCATGGCCGCCAGTTACAACTGACAGTCTCACCAGGGAAGGTGTCAGCAGCAGTATGTGCTTTTTTTTTTTTTTTTTTTTTTTTTTTTTTTTTTTTTTTTTTTTGACGTTATATTTATTTAGCTTTTCTATTAATCAGATTGGCTATCATACAAAAGGTTTTTACCAAACTTTTAAAATTTTATTTTATTTCAAAATTCGGGCAAGGTTATGTGTCTTAACCCAAAAAATACGGCATTTGGGACTTTTTTTTATGGGTTATCTTAGGTAATTTACACCTGAAACAAATTTTAAAATTTTTTTCTTGTGTGTCTGTACCTCATAGACTTACTTGCAATCTTGGAAAAATTAAAAGTCTTTTCCTGGGAATAATTTTTATTTTGGGTGATATTCCCCCTTAAAGGGGGTTTCCCTTTGCCCCGGGTGGGGGGCCTTGTCTGGGTATTGGATTGTGCCCCAAAGTCCCTAAATTAACTGAAATATTTTTCCTTTCCCCCCCCCCCCCCACAGGTGCTCTATAATCCCGACGGGTTTAGGGTTCCCCATAGTAGGGGGAGATACTGTAAAAACCATTTTTATAAATAAATTTGTAAAGGGGAAAAAAAAAATTTAAAATATTAGTGCCCATCCCCATCCGGGGGGCGGTGGTCAAAAGTTTACGAGGTACAAAATTAAAATTCAAATTCAAAGTTTATTTCATAAGGATTACAAGCTGAGTTTACAGAATTTGGTTTTTGTTGGTTTACTTTTTGTAAAAAAATTACAGGGTTTACCATGAAAACCAGCATGGTAGGCTTTCGGGCAGACTTAAGGGGGCCCAGGAACGGGACCCCAAAATTATGATAGCGAGCAAGTTACAAAGGGAAAAAGACCAGACCGTCGCTTAGGGTTTGGGGTTTTGTGACTCTGATGCGGGTTCTAACCCCACCCTTGGGGGTTTTTTTTTTGTCTATGTTCACCCCTCATAAAAAAGGTATGGGGGTTAGTGGACTGGTGTGGGGGCCCTCCTGGGACATGACCTAATTTGCCCGACAGCGGAGATAAAAAGGGGGTTTTTAAAAGTAGTATGTCATTGTTTTACTAGGACTGTATACCTTGTACATTATTGTAGTAAATAAAGATATTTTTATTAAATTTTTTATTTTTATTATTATTTTTATATTTTTTTAAAGAACCATCTTCACTCCATCATGGTTACAATCATGAACAAATTACAAAGTAAAGGCCACGGGAAGTCCCAAACCTACAATTGTAACGATTATAAAAACAAATATTAAGTGGGGGCATACACCCCACGAGGCATGCGCCCTGACAACAGGGAGGACCATGCACACAAGCATCAAAAATTTTTTAAAACCCGGAGCCAAATCTCAACCCCTACAAACACAATTAGGTGAGTATACACAAACGTGGTAATGCTTTATTTACAGTGAGCAAAGTCAGGGTATTTCTCCAGAATGATCTGTAATATACCACTGTGGGTAAAATATTTTGCCATTTCTTGAACATTTGAGTGAGTTCTCAAAATTCATTAATTTATTGCACTCCAGTACATAATGACGCCAGGTGTGACAATAGTCCATCTGGCAGAGTTTACATTTCATTTGGTCTACATCTGGTGGTGGTGATTTTAACCTGCCAAAGATACTTGTAACCCAGCCGGAGCCGGGCGGTAGTGACATCCAAGAGTCTGCTTATTTTGATGGATGCACCATAGCAGGTACCATATCTACCGCAGCCAGAGCAAGTTAAGATTTTTTTGCATTTTTATCCTGGGGAGGGTAAGCCGCCCAGGATAACCTGGGGGAGGGTTAACTGCCCAGGATAACCCAGGGGGAGAGGTAGCCACCCAGGATAACTTGGGGGGGAGGGTTAGCTGCCCAGGATAACTTGGGGGAGAATTAGCCACCCAGGATAACCCGGGGGGAGGGTTAGCTGCCCAGGATAACTCGGGGGAGGGTTAGCCACTCAGGATAACCCAGAGGGTGGTTCACCATCCAGAATAACTTAGGGTTAGTCACCCAGGATAACCCGGGGGAGGGTTAGCTGCCCAGGATAACCCGGTGGAGGGTTAGCTGCCCAGGATAACCCAGGGGAGGGTTAGCCACCCAGCATAACCCAGGGGGGAGGGTTAGCTGCCCAGGATAACCCGGTGGAGGGTTTACTGCCCAGGATAACCCAGGGGAGGGTTAGCCACCCAGGATAACTCGGTGGGTGGGTTAGCAACCCAGGATAACCCGGGGGGAGGGTTAGCCACCCAGGATAACCCGGTGAGAGGGTTAGCCACCCAAGATAACCCGGGGGTGGGTTAGCCACCCAAGATAACCCGGGGGTGGGTTAGCCACCCAGGATAACCCGAAGAAGGGTTAGCCACCCAAGATAACCTGGTGGGAGGGTTAGCCACCCAAGATAACCCGGGGGTGGGTTAGCCTCCCAAGATAACCCGGGGAAGGGTTAGCCACAAGGATAACCCGGGAAGGGTTAGCACACCAAGATAACCTGGGGGTGGGTTAGCCACCCAAGATAACCCGGGGGTGGGTTAGCCACCCAAGATAACCCGGGGGTGGGTTAGCCACCCAAGATAACCCGGGGGAGGGTTAGCCACCCAGGATAACCCGAGGGAGGGTTAGCCTCTCAAGATAACCCAAGAAAATCAGTTCGTCATCAAGGACTATCAGTCTTATTTCCACTGTGATCCTTTAATCTTGTCTCCTAGGATTCCATCCACACCAGTTGAATAACACCCATGTACCTACTTACTGCTAGGTGAACAGGGACAGCAGGTACAAGGAAACATGCTCAATGTTTCAACCCTGCTAGGAATTGACCCACAGACACAGTATTTGAACTGAGGTATTTTAGGTTGGATTATTTTAGATTTTTGGTAGACTACATTTCTTACCATTTTAAAAAAATTAGAGGTAAAATTATACGACTACTACTCATTGATTTTGGTCATCAATTATATATAGCCTCGATGGTACAATATTAAGTTCATTAATTTGTGCGATATGTATTGCTTATTAATTTTTGTAATTATGATTCTATATACATTTTTATAGGTTTATGGAAACAAATCTGTCATTTTAATTGATAAAAGTAACATTAATTGATAATGGTGGTGACTATATGAATAGTAGACCGGTCCAAAAATACGTACATGTTAATTTTAAAACTTCAAAGGAAATGCATTCCACAATAATTTTTATTCCACTATATGAGCCTGTACTGTGTGCCAAAATTTGGACCATTTCATGCATATTTAAAGGTTGCGCAAAACTTCACCTTTGGTTTCTCTCTATCGCAGATGGCATCCTCAGCACAGAGTACACAAAGTGCATCGGAATGGTGGTTAATAGGGTGTCCTCTTGAGTTTTTCTCAACTGCCCGGCTTCCGACGCGAGGTGACATACTTCGCGTGTCACAATTCTTTCACCTGAAGCAGAATCTACCTTTCCCAAAAAGCTTCAAGAAATCCTGCGAAGCCTGCTGTGCCATCTGGATGAGGGCAAGGATCCCTACCCAGCGGTTAGATTCCTGCGTGCGGAAGTTGGAGAAGTTAATGCGTGAATACCAGAACCTCAAGAAGAGTCGAAAGCGAGGTGATACGCAAGCGAGGATTTTCCAGGACTCCCTCGGTGACCTCTTTGACATCGGAGCCAGTGATGCCCTGGCGCAGATGACTGTTGAAGAGGATCGCGTGTTTTACCAAATGCAACGCGAGGATGTCACCTCATGCATTATGTCTGGCCCTGATCCCATGACAACGGGAAGGGAGAGTCGGAAGCGACTTTGGGAAGGACAAGAGAAGGCGAGAAGGGCGAAGGCAGAGGCCGAGGCAGCTTCATTCTTGGTGGCAGCACCTCGGCTGTCTTCCACGTCCTCCTCCAGCCTTGAGTCCAAGGGCAACGAAGACTTTGCTTCTACTATCAGTTGTTCGACAGCGCTTACGGTGCCTCCCAAGCGACTGAAGAACGTCTTTGCCTCCCCTGCTGTTGCATCAGCCGTCAACCAACTCAACCTCCCGGAAACAGTACCTTCTTCTCCTTGTGGCAGATCACCGTTGCCGCTTCCCTGCTCCGACCAAGGAGAGACTAACAAAGAAGGGTGATTGCTGAATTTTAGAGGGACAGATTAAAGTCCCACCTTATTTCATTGTTCAAGTAGGCACAAGGAAGCATTATTACGAGTGAGCGAGTGGAGCGACATTTTACTGGCAGTTGGTGTGACAAATGAGTGACCTGACACGACCAGATGCTTTTGAGAGGCTAATAACTTTTTCCCTATGTAAGTTAGACCTAATTCCTTTTGAATCTGATAGTCTCATGAAATAAATTCTTATTAACAGTTTTTTTTTTTTTTTTTTTTTTTTCTTCTTCTTCTTCTGAAATTCCATGGTAACCCCCCAGAAAACCATGGTACTTGAGGGGATGTTTGGCCAAATTTTGACGTTTGTTCAACTTGAGAAGTGAATTGCATGAGATTTTCTGTTGTGACACTATTTTCTTGACTGAATTTGAAAGAGAAAAGATGGGAGAATGCAATTAAGAATGTTAACATTTTTTTTTTTTCAACTTTTAGTGGGAGAAATAAGCTGGACAAACTCCTGTTTTAGTAATTTTTCAGTTGAATACATAGTCCAGTAGTTGGTGAAGGTCAATCAAAACCAACGATTTTTCATCCAAGAATTCATGACTTAACACGTACTTTATTTAAATTGAGTGGTACCGCCTCTTCAATGCACATTTAATCACTCGCTTGTTTTGTGCTCAACAAAGTGCTAAAAACTATTTATTGATTCATTCTGCTTTCAGAGAAAATTGGAGCTATGCTTTGCAAAAGAGGAACAAACATTAAAATTTCTTCAGTTTCTCTTCTGTCGGCAAGAGAAGCCTTTTTGTGCGACCTCTAAAATTTCCTGAAAATTGGTCTGAATGTTACTTAGGAACAGTGTAACAAAATAGAACTTGTAGAGCGAACAATTTCACAACTTTATTTTTTTGGACCGGTCTAATGTAAAGTCAATTAATGTTACTTTAACCCTTAAACTGTTCAAACGTAGATCTACATTTGCACCGCTAGCACTCCGAATGTAGATCTATTTTTTTTTTTTACAATTGAAAGCGTGTAAAAAAAACGTAGACCTACGTTCGAAGCGCTAGTGGTGCAAATGTAGATCTACGTTTGGACAGTTTAAGGGTTAATACAAGAGGTTCCCACTTATATGGCAGGTTTAGGTTCTGGGCTACTGCTGTAGAACAAAATTGCTTTAAAGTGAAACAGCATTTTTTCACTTTCAAATGCACATAAAAGCCTGATAACATGATTACACTATCATGTATTAAGTGAGCAATAAACCTAGGCCTGAAAAATGCATATGCAGTACAGGTCTCCCTCAACATTCTCGTTTTCAACTTTCGCGGGCTTCACACATTCGCGAATTTCCAACCGCCAAATTCCCAGCTGCCAAATCATATTTAAGTTTACCGCCACAAGTCCCTACTACCCTCCCTCCGACCCCTGCAACTGGCAGCCAGCCCTCCCACCACTGTGTGGTGAGTGTTTTGTTTGTTCATTATTTGCTATTAAACTACAGTATAAATAATGTCAACCCATTTATGACTGCATATTAGAATGGCTATTCAAACAGGTATTGGAAGGTGACATCATGTGTTTACTCTTGAACACAGCAAAGAATCAAACATTTCTGCTACTGCTAATAATAATATTAATATAATAATAATAATAATAAATACGATAGAATTGAAGAAGGAAATTGTAAAAAATACGAGGGCTGAAGCAGTGGTGGAGGAAGTGGTTGACGCATCGTCAGTGTGGCTTTGTTTATGCTGGAGTGAGTATTAGTCTCCGTGCTCATCCAAACATTTCACAATAATTCATTGTATTTGGTGCTTGTAGTTTGAGTGTGACTGGAATGGTTGAGGCAGTGGTAGAGGCAGTGGGTGAGGCAGCAGTTGAGGCAGTGGTAGAGGCAGTGGGTGAGGCAGTGGTAGAGGCAGTGGGTGAGGCAGCAGTTGAGGCAGTGGGTGAGGCAGCAGTTGAGGCAGTGGTAGAGGCAGTGGGCGAGACAGTGGGCGAGACAGTGGTAGAGGCAGTGATATTTACTAACATGTTATAAATAATAATAGTACATTATGAATAACATTTATTATTATTATTATTATTATTATTATTATTATAAATGTTATTAATATTAACATGTTCTATTATTATTTATAACATATATGTTAGTAAATACCACTGCCTCACCCACTGCCTCTACCACTGCCTCTACCACTGCCTCTACCACTGCCTCTACCACTGCCTCTATAACTGCCTCTACCACTGCCTCAACCATTCCAGTCACACTCAAACTACAAGCACCAAATACAATGAATTATTGTGAAATGTTTGGAAGAGCACGGAGACTAATACTCACTCCAGCATAAACAAAGCCACACTGACGCTGCGTCAACCACTTCCTCCACCACTGCTTCAACCCTCGTATTTTTGTACAATTTCCTTCTTCAATTCTATCGAAGTACAGTGCCCACTCTGAAGGAGGGGTGTTAATGTTGCAGTTTAAAAACTGTAGTGTAAAGCACCCTTCTGGCAAGACAGTGATGGAGTGAATGATGGTGAAAGTTTTTCTTTTTCGGGCCACCCTGCCTTGGTGGGAATCGGCCAGTGTGATAAAAAAAAAATATAAAAATAATTATTATTACTATTATTATTATTATTATTATTATTGTATTATTATTTTTATTATATTATTATTATCATTATTATTATTATTATTATTATTATTAGCAGTAGCAAAAATGTTTGATTCTTTGCTGTGTTCAAGAGTAAACACATGATGTCACCTCCCAATACCTGTCCGAATAGCCATTCCAATATGCAGTCATAAATGGGTTGACATTATTTATACTGTAGTTTAATAGCAAATAATGAACAAACAAAAGACTCACCACACAGTGGTGGGAGGGCTGGCTGCCAGTTGTGGGGGGTCGGAGGGAGGGTAGTAGGGACTTGTAGTGGTGGAGGCAGTGGTATTTAATAACATACATGTTGTTAAGGCATAACGTATGTATTTAGTACAATTTACGACGTTTTCATGTATTTTATGATTGTTCATGGTTCAACAAGTTAAGGAAGCAGTATTGTATTATATTTCCCTACAATATATTGGGGCACCAAACATTCACGGTTTTTCAACATTCGCGAGGCTCTTGATCCCCTAACCCTCGTGAATGTTGAGGGAGACCTGTACATTCATTGCGTACCTTAAAATATATTCGTACTCGGCTTATAGTGAGTGGTGAATATATTTATTGTAATCCCGCCTGTATATGTTTACTTAGTACTTATTGTAAATTATGTATCATGTTATTGTGTATTTTTCGACCAAGCATATTTTCAAGAATCATCTTTTAGCTTTTTATTTGTAAAAATCAGTGTCATAATAGCCTAGCTCTTGTGAATCATGTATTTTGCTGTTATGTATTTCTTTTCGTTCATTATTACTAACACACTTCATTTTACTTCTTAACCAATCTGCAAATTCCACAGAAATTACTTTAACAAGCTTACATTGTGGCTTGATTACCTTAGTTCACTATTGAACTAAGGTAATCCTGGTATACTTAATAGGCAAATTATCTGCAAGTCTGAAATATAGAAGCTGTTCTATTTGGAACACAGTGTAAACTGAAGAGTAAGTAATTTTAAGATATTTTATAATGAGGCACTAATCTCTCTCAATAGTAACTACAGTACATGTATTTACATTGAAATATCTAGGAATTTCTTCCGATTCATTCCTGTCAGATGAATTAATATTTAACAGCATAAAACAGGTTAAAGCTGAAGCTCACCTTCCAACTAGCAGTGCTTAACTGCTCTGGCATGGAAGATCCTACGACTGGCTCAACTGCTCTGGCATGGAAGATCCTATGACTGGCTCAACTGCTCTGGCATGGAAGATCCTATGACTGGCTCAATTGCTCAGGCATGGAAGATCCTATGACTGGCTCAACTGCTCAGGCATGGAAGATCCTATGACTGGCTCAACTGCTCAGGCATGGAAGATCCTATGACTGGCTCAACTGCTCAGGCATGGAAGATCCTATGACTGGCTCAACTGCTCTGGCATGGAAGATCCTATGACTGGCTCAACTGCTCAGGCATGGAAGATCCTATGACTGGCTCAACTGCTCTGGCATGGAAGATCCTATGACTGGCTCAACTGCTCAGGCATGGAAGAACCTATGACTGACTCAACTGCTCAGGCATGGAAGATCCTATGACTGACTCAACTGCTCAGGCATGGAAGATCCTATGACTGACTCAGCTGCTCAGGCGTGGAAGATCCTATGACTGACTCAACTGCTCAGGCATGGAAGATCCTATGACTGACTCAACTGCTCAGGCGTGGAAGATCCTATGACTGACTCAACTGCTCAGGCATGGAAGATCCTATGACTGGCTCAACTGCTCAGGCATGGAAGATCCTATGACTGACCCAACTGCTCAGGCATGGAAGATCCTATGACTGACTCAACTGCTCAGGCATGGAAGATCCTATGACTGGCTCAACTGCTCAGGCGTGGAAGATCCTATGACTGACTCAACTGCTCAGGTGTGGAAGATCCTATGACTGACTCAACTGCTCAGGCATGGAAGATCCTATGACTGACTCAACTGCTCAGGCATGGAAGATCCTATGACTGACTCAACTGCTCAGGCGTGGAAGATCCTATGACTCAACTGCTCAGGCATGGAAGATCCTATGACTGACTCAACTGCTCAGGCGTGGAAGATCCTATGACTCAACTGCTCAGGCATGGAAGATCCTATGACTGACTCAACTGCTCAGGCGTGGAAGATCCGATGACTGACTCAACTGCTCAGGCATGGAAGATCCTATGACTGACTCAACTGCTCAGGCGTGGAAGATCCTATGACTCAACTTCTCAGGCGTGGAAGATCCTATGACTGACTCAACTGCTCAGGCGTGGAAGATCCTATGACTGGCTCAACTGCTCAGGCATGGAAGATCCTATGGCTGGCTCAACTGCTCAGGCATGGAAGATCCTATGACTAGCTCTTACATATTGTTCTACAGTTAAGAATTCTTTATCCAAAATGCTTAGGACTGGAAGTGTTTTGGATTTTGGAATATTTGTATACAGTAGGGCCCCACTTATACGGCGGGTTAGGTTCCAGGCTGTCGCTGGAAAGCAGACATCGCCGGAAGGCAGAACGCCATTTTTTTCTATTTATAAATGCATATAAATGCCAGACAACAAGTTTACACTAAATTATATTAAGTTAGTAATAGAACTAGGCATTAAAAACACACAAAGTAAAATACATTCACAATAAATTCATTACTTATCTTAAAGTATTTGTAATCTTAATGTAGGGAGAGAGGTGAGTAGTACTTATTTGTAGGAAGTCAGGTGTAGGTAGCCCTGGCTCCCCGTCTCGTACTTAATATACGATATTTAAAACATCCCAGAGATATGTGTAGTCTTGATATAGGAAGAGAGGCGAGTAGTATTTATTTGTAGAAAGTCAGTGTAGGTAGCCGGTAGGTGTAGCCCGTACACCTACCGGCTACCTACACTGTGGCCCAGAGCCATATTATTAACATCGACATGCCTTGTTCACTGAATTTAATCATTTCTAACAACTACCTTTAGATGCCATCATAAACGAAGGTAGAAGTAATGAATAATTCATGCCGAAAATTGTAAACAAAAGCGGAGTGAGGGAGTGGCTGGGCCAAACGCAGATTCATAAACGTTTGCTCTGATGGCTGAGCAGAGAAAACGTAATGTCCCTCCACCCGGCTACCACACAAGTCCACAAGTATTATTATCAGAGCACACATAAAATATGCAATAAATGCCAGACAACAAGTTTACACTAACTTATATTAAGTCAGCAATATAAATAGGCATTAAAAACACAATAAAAGGTATGATACACACAGAGTACACTTATTACTTACCTTAAAATATTAATATTAATGTGTGAGAGGTGAGTGTCAGGGTGTTCATTGAATAAAATCAGAATGGCACACCATCATCCTCTAACTTGGCACTTAAAGCAAGAGGCTTACGACTACTATTTTTATTACAGCTAACCTTAGACGCCATCGTCAATGAGAGCCAACTAGTTAACGAAAGAGTAAACGAGAGAGAGAACGAGATACAGAATTGAGACAATGTAAGAACACAAACTGAACAGGTAGTGGACGATCACTTGGTCAGGCGAAATAAATGCGTATTAATGTGTGTCTACTTTTAGTTCATTCACGTCCATTTGTAAGAGTTTGTAAAACATTTGCCTCAATGTTTTTTTATTTTAATAATAATTACCTCACAATACAAATACTCTTACATTGTGTACAAGTTGTACAAGTTAGTTCAGAATAAACAAACAGCAACACACCATTTTTAGAGTGAATGAAGGTAATAATAATATTATTATTACATATTATTATTTTTATTATTATTAATAAAAAGCACTAAACCCACAAGGGTCGTGAATTGCTATATATAGAGTAAAGGCATACAAAAAGAATATTTTTCTACAGTTACCCCCCAGTGTTTGACTAGAGAAAACGTAATTCTTCCAACACTACCTACACAGCTGCTTGGTAAACAAGTCTCATATTTACATCAATTTTTATTCTGTGAGTGTATGTATCATGTTTATATGCTATGTAATGGGTTTCATATATAATTTTGAGGAAAATATCATAGATGGATTAATGAAAATGCCTATAGTGATGTAAAATAAGACAGTGTGCCCAAGAGTGATTATTATTAAGTAGTATTGGCGTCATGAGTAGAGAGAGAGTTAGCGATTTTAATGTGTACATGCACACCAGCACAGTGTGCAAGTATATTTAGGTACAGGTACACTTAAGTATAATTACGTGTATCAGAGTACATATAAAATATGCAGTAACTTTAAAACACTTGAAATTTTGGAAAGTTTCCTTACATAATAGATGTCACGGAAAATGTAAACAAACTGGGTGGGGGGGCGCCATATTTGAAAGACCGCTTGCCGTATAGCAAATTTTGGTCATAATTTGACATCGCCGTATTAGCGGAACGCCGTAAGGCGAAACGCCGTAAAGCGGGGCCTTACTGTATTTGCATCTATGAAATGGGATAGCTTGGGGATGGGACCCCAAGTCAAAATATGGTACTGTACAGTACCAAAAAAACATGATCACTGCTTACAAAAAGAAGAAAAATTCAGGCCCAGACTACACTGTTAGATTTTCATCAGCTACAATCTTTGCAAACACATCACTGAATTTCTCTGCTGCTTCATGATCAGCAGATGCTTTATCACCACTAATCTTTAAATATTTAATGCCATGTCTTTTCTTAAATTTTTGTAGCCAGCCTGCTAAATATTCAGCATTCCATTAAGCAGTATGTGCTCACTTTGACGCTGACGAATCCACTCCATCAGCATTTGCTCTTTTTTTTTTTCGTTGTTACCCATATGCTTTTTTATATTTTCAACAATATCTTCACACCACAAAGCACAAAACATGCAGTATCAGTGAGTAGTTGCTACTGACAACAAACTGGTGCTAGTACAGATGTAAAGCTCATCTGTCTCAGCTCAACAGATGGATCAAGCTTCCTGTGTCTTGCGCTAAATAATTCGTTTGTGGTGCATCATGTCAACACTCAAAAATCTTCCTGATTTTGGGTCTTGGAATTTCAGATAAAGGATTCTGTACTGAATAGATTTTTACTTTTTGTCATGTTCTCCAATTTATCTTGGATGTGGGTGTAAGGATGTGGGTCAGGATGAATTATAAAAAATGGGAATTTGTATAAGTGGTAGATAAAACAGAAAGAATGGTGATTTGTTATATGCAGAGTATTAATAAAATTATGGACAGTAATGCCCCCATATCCATGGATTTGGTATTCGTGGCTTCAGTTATCCAGGGTTTACTGTGACCCAAAAATAACCCTTAATTTTGATCAATAATGGCCCAAAACCACAAAAGTAGTGAAATTAAGAGGTATTTTTGGGCCACAGTAAACTGTGGATAACTGAAACCGTAGATATTGAATCAGTGGATATGGGGGTTCTACTGTACCTAAATAATGAAACAATAAGGACCCCAGTGGGAAAAGTCATAGTTTGACTTTGTTTGGTTATTGTAGACTAAGTTTACATAATTTTTCACCACTTCATGCCAACATATTATTTATGTGCTTTGTGAATCATTGTACGAATTTGTACTGTCTGTAAAATCATTATTGGGTTTCTTGAATAACTCCTTTTGGATCTTATGAAAATTCATCTGAGTCACCTGCTTAGTGTTAGCTTGATTTTTATTAGACGTTAGTTATAGTATTTACAACTGAAGATTTACAAATGCACTGGCTAATGGAAGCTGCCTGTATGTTGCAGAACTCTTCATGTGTATTGTTTATATTGATTTATTGTAATACCCTGTAGATAAATGGTTTAGAGAACCGACAAACTGATAAATTAGACACTCGGAACACTTGGGTATCTTTACTGAGGAAACGTTTTGCCACACACTGGCTTCGTCAATCCTATACAAAAATACCCAAGTGTTGCACATGTGTCTAATTTATCAACTTGTTGGCTCTCTGGACCATTTATCTACATTCCTATCGGACACAGCAACATGTTGGGGTCTTGATACAGGGAATTCTTCACTTGCCTAACCTATAGGCATGACCTGCTTCCACCTGTGGATTTGTCCAATGTGATACTGCCTATGACTTCTTCAATTTACCTGTCTACAGTATATAAGCCACTTCTTCACTCATATGTTGTATTCTTTTCAAGATTGATGAACTGATTACATCAACTACAGGCTGAGGGACTGATAAATCAAACTCCTCCTGAGCTTCACCAATATAATACCTTATTCACTTTATTTTCAGTATTATTTTAGATCAATATTTACTTTCCAAATTTATAATTTTGCATTTTTCTTTTTTTTTTTTTAAGTGACTGCATGTGATTTCAAGGACTCTTCCACAGCCCATCATGATTCCAGGCTTCCCTTGTAACTATTTGATCAACCAGGCTGTTCATGCTAGCACCCTGCAGGCTTCATAATCATCATAATCATCTGGCTCTTGTAGAAGGAAGGTATCCAGTTACTTCTTGAAAACTTGTGTAATCACTCAGGCCATATTTCTGTCTGCTGGTACAGGTTGATCATCACTACACTGGCATCATCAGAACCTGTAGGGTGTCAGATTACTGATTTTACCAGATTATAGAGTGGTTAGGTTAGAATGCACTTAACCCAACAGCAGTATTTATGCATCAGCGATTTCACCCAATTTATGCCCTATTTTTGGCCCATTCCATTGTTCCAGTCTACCAAACTCATAGCTATTACGCTAGTACATACTGTATTCCTTTTATTCTGTCAATTGAGTACAAGAAACTGCCCATTCACCTATTTCAACCACCCAATAAAGTGGTCTGAAATTGGTAATTTGGCCAATTTCACACAAATTTCAGAAGATGCCAGTTTCAAAACAGGGTCCAAAATAAATAATGCAGACATTCCTAGCACTAAAATTACATTTTCTCTGTTCATTAGTCACATCTCTAGACCTCTTATATTATGCTTGCTTTCCATTTTGAATTTTTATTCACACAAAAAATAGATTTACTGTTATGCAGACTACTGCATTTTTGTAATAATTGTATAAATAATGTCGACCCATTTGTGACTGCATATTAGACCGGGCAGTTGGACACGTATTGGACAGTGATGTCATTTGTTTACTTGTGAACAGCAAATATCGAACATTTCCGCTACTTTGAGCCCAATTTTAAGGTACTTTCCAGCATGAAACCAATCAAAATTACATCTTTTTCTGTAATAGTACATCTTTCGTTCTATCAAATGAGACCGAAAAAAAACGAGAATACAACCATATGAAAATACACTGCAAAGTCGGGTTTACACCATAATCACATTCACAGTGTTTTTCTCATGCACTGCGTGCTGCAGGATTTTTTTTATATAGTGCACACTTACCACACAGACCTATTCTCTCATATGTAGGCCCAAATTTACCGGTCACAGCTTATCTGAGAGAGCTGAGCTCATGGCAACCAACACTGGCTTCAAAGCCACCTTATCTTTTATGGACAATGTATGGTGTATGTGCTTTACACAACGAGAAGCATTTCTTTTATTAATTGGAACCATGGCTAGGGCTAAAAGTGACCAGGTTATAACAATAAATGGAGAAAAAGAAATTGGAATGACTTACGCAGCAAGTAGCGCCACCAAACAGTAGTAGCAGGTTGGTGTGGTGACCCTGGAAATTTGAAGTTATGCTGGCCGAAATTAGTGCCAGATTACTGGTGGAACTGGATTACTAATTGCCAGATTAGTGATGGCCAACCTGTACAGTAGTATATTGAAAAGTCTTGGGCCATGGATATTATACCTTTGATATATATACCTTTGATGAGTTCCAAGAATTTTGCTACTCCCAGAGCCCAGCCTTGGGCCTGTTTATCTATTGTAACCTCTCATACATATATAAAGTATTTCTTAGTGCAGTATTATAAATTTTTTAATAACTGATGTGTGTACATGCACATATACAGCCTCTCCTCACTTAATGACGGAGTTCTGTTCTTAAGACCAAGTCGTTAAACGAATTCGTCACTAAGTTAGGAGCTTACTATAATGGTAGTGGTTTGTGTCATCCATCTTTGATATTGTTTTAATGTCACCTTCACACCATTTATAACATTTCTGGTATATTTTTAAATGTTTATACAGTAGTTTACTGTACGTATATTGAAATAAATAGAATAGAGGAAATCAGGTCTAATATACATTATTTAGGTATAAATACTGGTCAGAGTGCCCGTCGTAAGTCTGAGGCATCGGTAAACGAGTGTGTCGCTAAGTGAGGAGAGGCTGTATATATATGTGCATACATACTTATTTCTGTATATGGTTTGTTCATTAGGTTTAGTATTGCCTTGTGAAGTACTTCACTTGTATATACAGTACAATATTATGTTTATTAATATTTTCTTTGGCTTTATCAAATGCATTTATTTTTGGTGTACAGTGGAACCTCAAAAATCGAACGTATCACATACCGAACGTTTCGAAAATAAGACCATTTTTTTGGACAAACTGTGTCCCTATTATCGAACGCACCCCTATTTTTGGACTGCCGGGTACGGGACCTGTCCGCTGGCCCGATCTGTCCGCGTCCCCGCGCAGGCGCCGTGAGCAGTCTAGCTTTGTTTATGCTTGAGTGAACACTAACCTGCGATCTCATTCACACATTTTACGATTATTTAATTGTGTTTAGTGCTTGTGGGGGTGTGAAATAAGCTGCCATGGGCCCAAAGAAACTTGCTAGCGGTACCCCTGTGGTAAAGAAAGTGAGAAACACCATAGATGTGAAGAAGGAAATAATACAGAAGCATGAGATTGGAGTGAGACTTGTTGAGCTTGCCAGGATGTACAGAGGACTGTGGACAGTTATTTTGAGAGACAGAAACAGACGGCTGTGGAGAGTTATTTTGTGAGACAGAAACAGACGACTGTGGACAGTTACACAAATAACCCGCACATAAAAGAGAGAAGCTTACGACGACGTTTCGGTCTGACTTGGACCATTGACAAAGTCACAGTGTGACTTTGTCAATGGTCCAAGTCGGACCGAAACATCGTTGTAAGCTTCTCTCTTTTATGTGCGGGTTATTTGTGTATCGTTCCAGTCATGGTATTGTGCCTTTTTTTGTTATTTATGACTGTGGACAGTTATTTTGTAAGACAGAAACAGACGACTGTGGACAGTTATTTTGTGAGACAAACAGACGACTGTGGAGTTATTTTGTGAGACAGAAACAGAGGACTGTAGACAGTTATTTTGTGAGACTGGGGTCCAATGACTCTCAAGCTGGTCCTAGTGGCATTAAAATACAGAGAAGGGAAGCAACCCCAGAGAGGGCTTTGATACCGGAAGTCCTCATGGAGGGGGATTCTCCTTCCAAACAATAACCCCAACTCCCTCTCTCCTCCTCCCTATCTTCCAGATGCCATCACCAATCTTCAATAAAGGTAAGTAAAAATGTTATTTTATATTACTATACATAATTAAAGACTATAGCATTTGTTGTGTGTATGTAAAACTGTAATTAATCTCTATAAAATGTATTTTTTTTTTGTGAATATTTTTGGGTTTCTGGAACGGATTAATTGTATTTCCATTATTTCTTATGGGAAATATTGCTTCGAATTTCAGACTTTTCGAATTTAGAACTAGCTCCTGGAACAGATTAAGTTCGAAATTTGAGGTTCCACTGTATGTTCATTTGAAATAAGTGTGGCAAGTTCCTGTACATTTGTTACAATTTGGCAAGACATGTGGCTTTTATTTTTGCATTGTTGACATGTACAGCCAGCTGATAAACTTTGAAGCATCCAACTTGGCCTGGCAAACTCTCATGAACCTTCCCACACTCTTCAAATGCTTTCAGTAATGATTAATAAAGTGAAAACTAAAATTAAATAGTAATTTTTACTTACTAGTAATTTTCATTTGTCAGATTTGGTGGTGTCTGTAATGCAACCTTATTTTTCCCACAATGCCTGGACATGCATTGAAACCAAGATATGAGGGACCTTTGGAAGTCATTAAAAATCTAAGTGAAGTGAATTACCTGGTTCATATGCCCGGGATAAAGAAACCGGACCATACATAACATGTTAACCAGTTGAAGAGATATGGAGGGTTAGCCCCGACCACTGCCACTCCTAGAGTCCCAGGAAGAAGCAGAGGATTTGGAGGACTGCTCCAAAGGGATAGAAATCCATCTTAGAAATACTCAAATTCTATGATCCCTGGACGATTTTTTGCAATTTCTGACCAACGACTGGGCCAAAGAAGTGAAAAGTATGATATTGAAATACCCATCCTTGTTTGGTGATATACCTAAGCACTGCACGTTGGCAATACACGACGTGGATGTCCAAGGAGCTGCGCCCATCAAACAATCCCCTTATCGTTTAACCCTTTGACTGTCGCCAGCCCTTTTCTGAAACTGCCATTCTATGTCGCAAATTTTTGAAAAAAAAAAAAAAATTTTCTTATGAAATGATAGAGAATCTTTTTCCAATGGTAATGACACCAAAAGTATGAAATTTGGTTGAAAACTCACAGAATTACGCTCCCGCAAAGTTAGCCGTCTCGGTGACATGTACGCATCAGTGATTTCACAGATTTGAGCCCTGTTTTTGACCAGTTCCGTTGTTCCAGTTGACCAAACTTGTAGCTATTTCTTTAGAACTCCATTTTTTTCTATCAGTTGAGTAGAAGAAACCGCCCATTTACCGATTTGAACTACCCAATAAAGTGGTCAGAAATTGGCAATTTGGCCAATTTTGCACAAAATAAAAAAGATGCCAATTTCAAAATAGGGTCCAGAATAAACAATGTATAGACATTCTTGGTACTAAAATAACATATCCTCTGTTCATTAGTCATGTCTCTGGGTCCCTCTTATACAGTGGTCCTTCATTTATCGCTGTTAATCCTTTCCTGGAAGTGCGACGATTATCAAAAAAGACGATTTTCGAATCAATTTTCCCCGTAAGAAATAATGTAAATGCAATTAATCCATTCCTGACACCCAGAAGTATTAAAACAAAAATTTTTTACATGAAATATAGATGTAGTACATAAACAATACAATGGGACATGATGAATGAAACATTAACAGCATAACACTTACCTTTATTGGCGATTCTTCTTAGTGTATGGAAGACTGGAGAAGGAGAGACATTGAATTACTGTTTGGAAGGGGAATGCCCTTCCATCAACACCTCAGGTACCAAGTGCTTTTCTGGGGTTACTTCTCTTCTCTGTTTCTTAATGCCACTAGGACCAGCTTGAGAGTCACTGGAGTCCTGTGTCACAAAAAAAAGTGTCCAGTGAGCTCTGTTTCTGGCATCTCTTTAAAACTTCCCTAAAATGGGCCAAGACTCTGTCACTGTACAAGTTGCCGATATGGCTTGCAACATCCTTCTCAGGGTGATGTTTCTCCATAAATCTTTCCATCCTACCCCACATTTCGCCATGCCTTATCACACT